CCAGCGAACGTCCCCCGTCACGTTAAAAAAATAATTTATTTTGATTTTATTTTCAGGTTCTATGATGGAAAAAACTTTTTACACCATGGCGTTGTAGCAGATTATATGAACGTAGAGGACATTGGAGACAATAAAACTTTTTATTTTTAATTCACTAGTAATTGATAAAGAAAATTGACTTTCATGTGGATAGGAGAAGCTTGCTTGAAGTTGTTTGTGTTCATGAGCATGATTTCTGATTTAATTCAACAAACTCACCGACATTTTGTATTTTGACAGTTGGAACGAATCGTTGAAACTTGTTGTTCGTTGACGTTGCTCGTTAACGTTCCAAACGGAAAATAGTTTATACTTCCGCAGATTCATTATATTCAGAATGCAATATTCAGCGGCCCTTGTTCCTTACGTGAAGTATCTATCTTTGGTAATAAGAAAACAAAATATGATTACAATTCTAGTTTTTGACAGATTATGACGCCGTCATCTGTTTATATGCACATGCATTTTCTGATCTGCAACTTTTCTAATCCGCAGAGAAGGACTTTCTTCTACTTTCTAACTATCTATCGATCAGTTCTTCATATTTCAACGTCAACTCAGTTTTTCTTTCTCATCATTTATGGCCCTTTCCCTCCATCTAAGGAATACTGGTACGGTATATGAGAAGAGCATCATAACTGATCTGTTGAAGGAAGAGCTGTCGTGATATGATGTATGCTGTCAACAACATAGCCAACAACTTCTTCACCATCAGCGAGGTTTACTTGTCGATAAATCGTCTTGTAGCTATTGTATTTTGGAAGAACTACAATCGGTTCTTTACAATTCGTAATCTCCACGTGAGTTTGTAGTCGGTTGCAGACTCTAATGACTGTGACTTTCAGATACTATGCTGCATCCCATTGTTTCTGTTCATCGTATTAGAACTAATGGTTTTCTACGGTTGGAGCTTCATCCAACTGTTGCAGCTACAATTTGAGTTTCAGATCATTCTTCCCATATTTTCAAAAGCGGATACTTGAATAACATGTATCTGATCTATGAAGGTGTATGCTTCCCTACAGCTACATCCCTAGTGATAATTACACTCATAATCTTGATTAAATTCAAGATAGAACAGGTACATTATCTGATTCAGTTAGCCAGCTCTTCTTAATGTCCCAGCGCAACAATAGGAATGTGCGGAACTACATCAGTCGAACACAGTTTCTGCCATTCGTTTTTGCCGTTTTTCAAATATTTCTAAGTTCCGTGGGCTTTCTGACAATTTTCGTTGAGCCATCAGAAGATTTCTATGTTGAGACGTTGTTTGATCTTCTCCCAATCATAATCAAAGACTTCTTCGAAGGGCAAGTGATCATTGAAAGATATGCTCGATCAACACACTTACAGATTATTTCAATTTCTCTACCTCTCAAGGAAAAACAATGTAGTCGTGAATGGTGGTGGTGGAAACTTGAATTAGATTGTTGATTGGCTGAAAGACGTTTTAAGCAACTTGTTCAATAGGACATCAAACAATAGATATTCATTCAAATAAAAGAGTTTATGGAATAGTTATAACCAACTAGAAGAGAGTCATTAAGTGATATCAAGCGAGAGGCAATCGCCTTCCTCTTTCGCTTTCATTTTTTGTTTTTTATTTTTCGTTGACTAAAAATGGAGAATTGAGTTAAGATCACGATAATACACCGGCATTAATACAACAGAAATCGAATCAGTTGATGAGAAAATTTCTTTTGTTCTTTCCATATAAAGCTTTGGTTACCCGAGTACCAGGTTTTTGCTTCTTTCAATCTGATGAGGGAACAGGTGGAATCCAATTATTGTCAAAAGTTTGTGATAAGTAGTACCACCAATAGACAAGCTGAAGTACTTCCTCTGTTATGAATTACTTTTGAAAGGGAGCTTACGTTGAAGAAAGTAAAAGCTAGCGGAAAAGCCACAATACTGAACTTATCAATGGATTCTGGATGAAAACGTGTCAAGCATCCTGTTGGAGGTAATGGTGAGGATGTACGAAGCTAAAAATATATTTTGTTGAGATAGAATATGAGATAGATTGATAGATCTAAGAGGATGCATCAAACATCTATATGAACATGCAAATGTTAGAATTACATGATTACTACAAAAAGGTTAATTAACTATATCTAATATCGATTAGTCAGTCCATTTACCTCTTCGATAAGTGGAACGTCCGTATCCGTAGGAAGCTAGAACATTACATTTTTTTTTCTTTTTTTTCAATGAAATTTGCTTCTTTGTAAGTTGTTAGAATAAAATGGAACAAAGACGAATAGCAGAAGAAAAGCTTTTGGGTGGAAAAAAACAAAAAAAGGAAATCACAGAGGAGGAAGTTGTAATTCAATTACCTGTTCGAACGTTAACGGTGTTTGTGAATCGAAAACGGTTGTCATTTGAATGTGAGTCGGTGATAGAGGTGGCCGAGAGATGATAGAGCCACGATTGTAAGCAACTGTGTTGTTGTGAGTTCCATTCGTTCCATTATGAGAGAGTAACGATCCTACATCACACTCACTAACTATATCATATAAGTTATCATTACCATTATTCAGATGTCCATTTCCAATTCGACTTCTACATGACCCGTTTGCCCAAACAGAAGATGAACGTGCTCGTTCACGTCGTTTTTCAGCACTGCAAATTTCATTAGTAGTAACGAGAAATTAAAACATGATGAGAGAAAGAGAGAGAGTAGAGAGAGATCGAGAGAGAGAGAAAGGGAAAGATTACCTTCGAAGACTATTTTGACATCTTGTAACATAACAAACAATGGCCAATTCAACCATCGTTCCAAATACAAATGAAATACAACCTAACATCCATACATCCATCGCTTTCACATATGAAACACGAGGTAAGTTTTTCAAAATATTTCCAAACTATAAGTAGATGTAAAGAAGCCATATATGGTGTTGATAGTTACTTGAAAAGTAAGAGCTAATAAGGAAGAGATTCCGACCGTTGTTCGAGCTGGTAAGGCTTTGGGTTCCATACAGAATGAGACCCAAGAGACAATGATAGTCAAGTAAGTCGGTACATAAGCTTGAATTATGTAAAATCCATATCGTCGTTTGAAAGTAAATACAACCTGAATGAATAGTTGAAAACATATTGGATACAGAGAGACGAGGAGAGAGAGAGAGAGAAAGATGAGTAGAGGGAGAATTAGGACGAAAAAAAATAAATTTCTGTCAAATTTTGTTTTTATTTCGAAAATGAAGGATTGATGAGAGTCCCTTGGGGGAATGAACGATAGATCAAAAAAATTTTTTTTGATTCATTCATCTCATTCGCCTCCATGAAAGTCATTTTATACCAAGATTGTCACATTGGGAAGAATAATATGAGATAGAAAAGACCTGAAGTTGATCCCAGTAGCCATTTGGATAAAGTAAATTCCGTTTTCTCGTCTCAAAATGAACCATATCGAAATCAGGAAGTTGAATCTCCTTCATCAGTGTTACAGGCTCTTCCATCCAAGCCAATTCGACCTACAATTTGATTTTGAAACATTCTCAAATGCTTCAAAGATTACCTCAGCTGAATTGTGGCTATATGATTCGAATATCAGAATACAGCTTTGAACATCAAAAGGGAATTGTCGTAGATCGAGATTACATGGTGAACGAACGGACAAGCGATGGTTCATCCATACTGTTCCATTCTTAAATAGATTCATTTGTTCATGAGATACTCGTTTTACTCTTCATTATTTGAATTTTGAAATTTTCAATTGAATAGACTGAACATTCATATTGTGACATGCGGAGACATATATCTTCCTTGTTGGCAAACTAATTATACATATGATGACATAAGCTTTAACCTCTCCACAACCTTTGGTTTTGTGTAAAATGTAAATATGACGTCATTTATGATCACGTGAAAGGTCACGGAAATAGCCACGTCAGATTTATCATGGCTGTTTACAATTTCATTTTGAAGAGTGTGGACGGGCAGAGCGGTTGTGTTAGGAAAACGAAAAGTAGCTTGCCGTAAGGAAGGATGTTACTCTCTGTTTTCTACTCTCTCCTTCTCTCCCTACACTATGTATATCTCTCATTCACAAGGTTTTACTTATATGAAACATTGAATGCAAACTATACTCTTATAGAATTTAGTTTGCAGCGTCTCTGATCCAATAAGGCTTTAAGCTTTTTAGTCATACAAGCCGTGGCTGCATAATTGCGATTGACAAGACTGTTTAAATAATTTATTTAGTCTTCTCACTCCTTCCTATGTCGTCATGATTGGAAGAAAGTTGAAGAAGAAACGTTTTGAAAGTACATAAGAATATCCTTAGAAGGATCCTCTCTCAACTTGATTCTCAATGAAAGCACGTGTGTTCAAGACAGACGGAAGTCTCTCATCTAACAAAAAGGAAAAAGGGTAAGAGGGAGAGAGAGAGAAAGAAAGAAAGACAGAGAGTGGAAGAGAAAGCAGACAAGAGACGAACAGAATACAGAAAAATGCCAAAAACTTGCAATCTCTTATTTTGCATAATTTGTATTTCATGAGAAGCATTAGTCATTTGCCTCAGGCAATCTAAGGATTCTCAGCATTGCGATGCATGTGTTCGTCTCTGAGAAGCTGTGACTTGTAAGGAAATTAGAATGATAACGTGATAGTTTAAGATTGTTATGTAAATTAAGAGCTTACATCATAAAGGATGATCATGACGTTTTCACCCGGAGAAGCGTGAGTCATTGTCCTTTTAGAGTTCACCAAGCAGGTATTGGGTGACCAGATTTTGGGAAGAACTCGAGCTTCAACCGTGATATTCCTTCAATCATACTCGATGATCCAAAATCAACTCAATCAAAGTAGATAAACCTTTTACAAGCTGGAAGATGTGTGAAAGACAATGCTCCATCATGCCATAACTGCGTGAAGAGGATGTCAATTTCAAAATCCGATGTGATTTCATTCAATGAGCCCATGTCCTGAAAACAAAATGTTTCTTCGCATATTTTTGAGTTTTTAAGTTTTTTTTTCTTCCATTCATTCAAAGCATTTTAAGCTCTCCTCTCAATCAGATGTGAATAGTCAAATTGATGAGAAGTTCTTAGAAAATTCATCTTTCACATCTCACAAGAGAAGATTGAGAGAGAGAGAGAGAGGGGATGGAGAAGAGAGAGAGAGGGAGAGATACTTCTTTAGTATTTCAACTGATAATTTGTCTTTTTTATCAAACATATGTTCATCATGATTGAATGATGAATGATTCCAAGCTCTCTCTTGTCACTAGCATTTTATGTTTTTGTTTAGAAGAGCATTGTTAGATTCATTCGTTTGATTGCAGATTAGATCATTTCCATATATGACTGGGAATTAAAGGAACACACACACACACACACACACACACATACACGTATACACAAGCAGCTTTATCTTTGTGTATACTTTCTTTGTCTGTAGCTTTACATTCAACTACTTAATCCAATCTTATTGTCTGATCAGTAGTGAGATACATGAAGACAACAAGAAGCTCATACCTGAACATGAATCTCAACGTTGACGACTACACTGTCTTCAGCATCTGGAAGAGTCTTCGTATAATTCGAAATGATGGTATTGACGATTTTTCCTTCTGCCCAAGCTTCTGGTGGACATTTTCTTCTTTTAACTTTTGCCTAAACATATGAGAATATGATTGAGAGGGAAGGAAGAGCCTTGTGCATACCTTAACTAGAAGAACTAAAAATAAAAATTTACATAAAGCTTGAGTGAGCTTCATCGTCTTTGATTTGAATACTGAAGTATCATGCTTCTTTCTATAATTAAATGAACATTATTATTTCATTTTAACAATACGCAAACGAAGATTAGAAAGGCTTTTTCAATTTCATTAAAAACATGGAAAGTTTCTTTTCTCTCAAATTATTTGAAACATCGGCTTAGATCCTTTTAAGAGCTTAAATGTCATTTTCACTTTTCAAAAAAGCTTCTTCTCTCTCATGCAAATCGTTCATTGTCCATTAAAGGCTTTGAGCACCTGTCATCATCAGACTGTCTAGTAACGTGGACGAATCCTTTCATGGACAACATCTCTTTAAAAGAGTCACGAAATGAAGTGATGAGAAGAGAGAGGGAGGGGGGTGCGAGGGAGGAGAGAGCAACTGAGTATAACTCAAAGAGAGAAGTAGAAGAGAGATGAAAAAGAAAATATTCGTATTATGTTCAATACCAATATCATTCCATGTAGCCCGAGAGAGAGACAGAGAGAGAGTTTCAGTTGACGTGTAAGTACGAGGATGAAGCTTCTCCTTTCCTCGTTTTTTTCTTGTTTAGAACATGACGAATCGATGATAGATGGCCGAAAGGACGAAAGTTATACTTTAAGGAATTTAAAGATACTGGGAATTATAAATGGAAGGAACTGAAAGTTTGACGAAAATGGAAAAGAAATGAGTTGTGGATGGGAGAGAGGGAGGGAGGTTGGAATGGATGAAGGGCGAGGAGAGGAGGAAGCAAAGAGAGAGAGAGAGACATCCTCTGATTTCTTTGTCAGAATTCCTTTCCAAGACAAAGAGAACAATTATCGTGTTATGAAGAAGGAAGTTTTTGAAAAACTTGAGAAGGAAATAAATTTAATTTCAGATTTAACATCATGTTTTTGGTAAAAGCTCATAACTATAACGTCAAAAGCTGGGAACAGCAAGGAATTTGTGCAATTCCTGCAGCCACCATTAATTGGTTTGAACGGGGAAGGAGAGAGAGGGGGGGGGATTGTATTGAGGGTGGCTACTAGTGGAACGACTTGTGACCGTTTAGTAGCCAGAGGGCATTGCATTTACTGGAAACCTCCCAAAAAAGGGATAACCGAGTATGAACATGCAGATGCAAGCAGGAAGAAAGGACGAAACCATTGAACAAACAACGTGGTGACGTTTAGATTTTGAAAGTAATTGAGAGAGAAAAAGAAAAAACTTTCAATTTTCGTCTTAATTGAGATTCACTTTGTATGTCAGTGAATAAAAAAAGAAGAAAAGAGAAGGAGAAGTGGAGAAGAAGCTGGAAGAAGGCCATCGCATGGCTAACAAATAGCATCAGATGAATGTGACATGGACGAAACAAAAGAACGAACGAAGGCAATAGCAATCACCCTACGGCTTTTCTGCTCCGCCGCAGGGCAGTTGAAGCTCAGACGACTTCTTCCTCATACGTGTTGATTTCGGACAATGAAAGGCTTTAACAGATAATTTTAATAGCTTGAATTTCAGTTGGGAAAAAAATAAAACAAGAGCAATGCCAACCAAGAAACAAAGGAACAACATGTCTGATGGTGTTGCTGCTTAGCTATAGCTCAGCTTCTGCTCCACCCTTTTTCTCGAGACTCCAACAATTTTCGAAACCTGATGCGCACTAAGCATAGAAACGCTTCAAACGCTTTTCCTGTTCATCATCAGTCAACAATGCTCAGACAGAGGTTTCCAAACGAAATCCCCCCCATGTGGTTGGATGTTCTAGTCTTTTTTGTACTTTACAACTTATTCAGATTACAAATTAGTTGGAGAAGACGTCATTAAATTTCTAAGAATAAATTAGGTCTTTGAAATCGTTTTGGGAGAGCCATGCTGCTGCTGCTGCAAGAGGTGCATGGCTGCATGGTTTTTTCGGAATTTCATTTGGACATCGATCATCAGGAGCATTTAACATGAAACCAAATTTCATTTTATATACCTTTCGAACAAAATGAGCGGTCGTGCATGGAATGCTCTTCTCTCTTTCATGCTAACTTGCAATCTCTCAGCCAGTCTCTCTCTCTCTCTCTCTCAATCTCACTCTTCTCAAAGACTTTTTTTTTCATTAAAATAGCATAGATATAACACATAAATGTTATTTCTTAAGAAAAAATGGGGAGAACTGAAAGATGGGATGTTTCATCCGATGAAAAGCTCCTCCCTCTATAGCTTAGCCAGCTTGTGCTGCAAGCAGAAGAATCCGCCTACTTATGCTGTTATAACTACATAATTTTGAATTGAAATGGGATAAGTTGTGATGAAAAAAGTTTCGTCAAAGTAGTAATTGGTAGGAAAAGGAGAGTTTAAGAGAGAGATTGAGGATTGGAAAGTGAGGGAGGCACTAGGACAGCATATAGAACAAGTCCTTAAACCTTGTATCTCTTCAGAAGCAGAGTAACAGAAAGAATAGACTGAAAGTCAGAAAAATAAGGAGATTTTGGCGAACTAATGAATATGATTGATAATAAAATGGAGAAAAAGGCGAAAGGAGAGTCCAAAACAAAATCAGCCAGATAAAAGCATTTGCCATTACCCGGCTAACTCTCTCTCCCCCCCCCCTCCTTCGCCTCTACTCCTTCACCCGCTTCTTGCCTTCTTCTCTCAACCAACAGACCAAAAACTTTTTTTTTCTTCATCTCTTTATTCATTCAAATATTTCCGAAAAAGATGATCTAATGATTGAAGAGAAGAACATCACACACACACACACACACATAGAATTGAATTTCTTGACTTGACAAATCATTTTGATTCTTTACGAGAGATTGACACCCTCAGTTTCGGACCCAAAGGACGATGACAAACGCAATTTTGGAAGAATAAGAAGAAGGAGTAGAAGAAGAAGAAGAAGAGAAGAAGTTGTTTCTTCCCTCCCTCTCTCCCTCTCTCTTATTTTGAGATCAATAATTGATATTTCCATAACATTTTTCTTGGAATGTGATGTGTATAGCCTATCCAACTACCTATATCCTGCATATTCTCTCTCTCTCTCTCTTTCTTCCAAATATAGTCAATTTGTTGAAAATAAAATTGAAAATCATCAAATAAACAATAATAAACCATTAAATGAATGAATATTTGAAAAATGATAGGAAAAACAAATATTATTAGAAAGCAAAAGATCTATTAACCTCCTTACTTCAACAACAATCATTCGTCTTTGAGAGATTCTTGACTGTACGTAGGCATCTGAGAATATTTTAATTCTTAGTCAACTTCATCTAATAATTCATCTAAGAATATACTAGACTGAGGGTGTGAAGCTAGATATACCTAGAGAGAAAGGAAATGTGAGAGACAAACTCTTGTAACCCTGATGGAGTAGTAAGAGAAAGGAGCGAATAATGAATGCAACCGCTCCAGGCGTTCAAATGATATCAAATGAAATTTGTGTTTTACGTCAAATCCACGTGAAAACTCGTGGATGAGAAAAATGGAAACATGCAATTGAAGGGAAGCAGTAGCAGAAGAAGCAGAAGAAGAAGAAGAAAGCTAAGTGAATAAGAGAGAGAGAGGGAAGAAGATTGAAAGAATAAAGTTCAAAGACAAAGCTTCTCCTTAGAGTTGAAGTCAAAGTTTCTTGAAACGAGAAGAGTTTTATTCTTTGCCAATACGGTACAAATGAAAAAAAAGAAGTTTTTAAATAGCATATAAAGTTTATAGAGAAACTTAAGGGAATTGTGCTGGTTGGTTTGGCAGAGGAAGTGTGTTAAGTGAGCAACTTTCCATTTTCCCAAATAGGAAAGGGTTTGTGATAAAGCCGGAGCAGCCGTAGCAAACGAATAAAAAAAAAGAAGAAAGGAAGACGAAGAAGACGACGAAGAAGAAGACCAAGTGCTGGAGGTGATAAAAAGCCGCAAAAAATGAAATAAAGAAGAAGGAAGGAAATTTTAGTTTGAATAAAACAATCAAATTACTTGGCTTGTTTGGCTATTTAGCTCAATCCATCGTCGGCCATTTCTCAGTTCAAACTTTGAGAAAAGAAATTTTCGATTAAATAAGAAGTTGATTTTGAGATTTTTGGCTAATTAATTAATTAAGTTCAAAGACAAATAGGGTAGAAACATTAGCTCGAATGAGATGAGCTGTGAGAATGGCTTCAGCTGGTGGTGACACAGCCCATATAAGCTGATTTTACAGAAAAACGAAAAAAAGAAGAAGAAGAAGCAGGAGAAGAAGCAGGAGAAGAAGGAGGAAATGAGATGAAAAAAAGTTTGATCGTTCAATCCGACAACTTTGGAGAAGCTTCAAGCATAAGCTTTAAGTTTGATTTGGGAGGAAACGTGGATTTCTAATTGTCTCAATGAGTTCTCTGAAGAGCTGTTAGCCAAAAGCTATGAATATGGACAAGTCATTTATAAAACTAAAGATTGAATTCTCTTTTTATTTTAAATTTTTTATTTCATTTACGAGAGAGTCGATTACAAGGGAGTACCCGGGCTGCTCTCTCTCTCTATCTCTCTCTTCCACCATTCTGGTATTCTAAGGACAAATGTATTTTAGAATAAGATGGAAAATGACAATGTGAGGACAAATTTTTTTGTCGGATTTTCGCTATTCGCCAGGCTTGAATGCATTTCGTGCACTCCGACTTACAAGATTCGATTAGGGCCCCCTGGAGAAGTAGAAGGACCAACGAAGACACAGCAACACATTCATATCATTCAATCTACTTCTTAACCCTTCTTCTTACTCTCTCAGAGATAGCAAGATGTATGACATGTGTATAGAGAGAGATAGAGAAGAAAAGGAAAATGAGTCCACAAGTTCATTTCAATATATGAAATGACTTTAACACATCTCCATGAGCTATTATTATATTTTTCTTTTCAATGCCAATGACTCAGAATTTTCAAAATCATACTGATGAGAAGAGGAAAGCAAAGCTTATTAGTCTGTGAACGGTTCAGTGAAGATGTTTGATCATCTTCATTGAATCTCTGAGCTTCATCATTATGTTCTTCAATTTCTCATTTCAATACTTTACGACATCTGAAATTGTCACAAAGACGATGTTAGACATGCAAAAAACTATTTCATCTCACATAAATCCGATTATCATAAAACTGTTTAGATGATGGAGAGAGAGATAGAAAAAGAAAAGCAAAAAAATATAATATGAAAGATCATAAAGGCCACAAAGTTCCACAAATACCCTGAGGGCCATATGTCGCCGTTGTGTTCACGACTAATCAGATGAAATCACATTTTGCAACGTCATAAGCTCTGTCTGATGTAGTTCAGATAGATTTTGAAAGTATTTTACGATCAAGAGAATTAATCTCTAACTATTTAAGTTGTTTTAAACTTTTTGCTCCTTCTACACAAGGCTATTATGAGAATTACAATATGGGGGGGGGGGGGGGGGGAGACGATGGGGACATAGAAAGATGGATCGAGAGCTTCTGGCGGAGCTGTTGAGGAGAAGCAATGAAAAGGAATGCAAAATGCCAAATGTGTGAAGGAACTTTCTGAGAAAATTCAGAACGTCATGACATGTTGTCAAGTAGTAGCAATGAAGTACTTGAGCTTAAGAAGAGACTTCAAGTTGCTTCACATCAAACTTTTCAAGTGAGGAAGATACAGATATGAGAATAAAAGTTAAAAAAAGAACTTTTTTCTTTCAAGAATTGGATGGCTGTATGGAAATTCACTTGCAGTATATCATCGTAGAATAATCATCTTTACAACATAGTTGAAAAGCTTTTAGCCACTGATGAAGAAACGGTGCCATGAGGCCAATAAATTCGCTTCCGAACACTATTGTTTACACTTGTTTTCTGGGCCTCCATGCTTCCGTTCGCAGAAGCTTCTTGACACTTTTTTTGGTGGACAATCATATCATAGTATACCTCGGACTAAAACCTGAACAGATTTCTCTCTCTCTCTCTACACATACACAACTGATCTTTCCAAAAGCAAAAGAAAAGAAGCAATTTCGTAGAAAGCCGTACCAGCTTTAAATTATTGGCTGAAGATGAGCAGGAAGCATCATCATTTTGGTTGAAGAAGAAGGGGCAGAAGTAGAACAAGAAGCAAGAAGATGTTTACCACATCTGATCTTCAAACCATTCTTATCCATAAGAATTGGCGAGATCTGAATTTCTAAATTCGGCTCTCAGGCGGAACCAGACGGTACAACTGAGCCAAGAAAGGAAGAAAATAAAAAAAAAAGGAAACGCGGTATGAACAAACGAACAACATGAGACTGGTGTTGGGTGTGAAGATGAAAAAAAATATTTTTGTTAAAATAAAAGAAAGTGTCAAGAGAGTAGAGTTTACTGTACATGCTGTGACAGCAAAAGAGCTGGGCAGAAGCAGAAAAGGGAGAGAAGGCAAGCAGTTAATTATTTGTTTGTTAGTTTATAGCTTGCAGTACATTGCCAACTAGAGAAGACGCTTGACAAGTTGTGAAGCTTCTGGAAACAAATAATTGTTTATTAGACAATACTTTTCTTATTTTGTGTATGTTAAATAACAATAAATGGCAATGTTCAAGAGTACCACATTGACACAAAAGCTGACAACTCGCTTCATCATATCCCACGAGAGTATATCAAACATGTTAAAGAATGCACAAAAACATTTCATTACAAGGCCACAGTGATTGAAATACACATAAATCATCGTTAGTTAACTATGCTAACTCATTTCTTCTTTACAAGCAAATGAGAAAACATAATTCCCAAATACACACATACACACACACATACACATACACACAGACACATTCTACTCATATGTGAGTTCGCATGACACTTTCATTTCAATTGGGGAAAATAGAACAAAATGTTATTTTCTTAACATTCTAATCTTTTTTCCACTTTATACACTCCTCCCTCTCTCCCTCCCTCTCTATCTCTCTCTCTGTTTCAATCACAGCTTCCTCTCATACCACCTGACAGAAGCGAATAGTTAATTGGAAAAGAACATTATCAATGAAGTTCCGTCAATCCTAAATTACAAGAAAGTGGATAAACGAACTCGAAACTATCATATGATGCCAGCTAACCACACATCATAGCTTCAGTAGGTAAAACGAAAAGCTGAAGATCAAACTAAAAGGAAAAAGTGGAGCAAAAGGTAATTTTTAAGTGCGGCCATACAAAGAACAGCTTTCCACTTCCCCAAAGAGGCCTTTCTTTCGAGTAAATGTTGTGGAAAACAATTGTTATGAAACTATTGAATGTGCTTATAAACGCAATCAATGTAACAGAAAAAGGTTGATTTCAATAAAAAAAGATTTCAAAAGGCATAGCTTATGCTCAAATAGTTAGTGGGAAGCCGTTGAATATCCATATACACATATAAAGGATATTATATTTCAAAAATGATCTATGGCTAATTTTTTTTTGCAAACACCACATGTTTCACGCGGATGAAAGTTTGTGGAAGTTATAAGGTTTTATAAGTTACAAGCTATTTCATAATCATAAGGTATAAACAGTATGGTTTATAACACAACACAAGTGATACGGTACTTTACGTATGGTGTAGTTTGTAGCGAATTTTATGCTAATTTCCGCCGTAGGTGTAAGCGGAGCGTGAGCTTTCTTCATTTATATTTATTAACTGACATAGAGCGGTTGCATTCCTGACCCATTAACCAAGTAAGTTTTGTTTAATTATTCAATTAATATTCTAATTCAGAAATATGAATAAACAGGTTATACCTGCCAGTTGGCATTGCAATGGAATATGTGCTGGTCTGCAGAGAGAAACTTTGTAATCATTTTTTCCTTCTTTTCTCGTTGTAATAGTTATCTACGTTATAGTGTTCCTGTATTATTAGATTCCAAAAAGTCACACTATTTACAAAGTTCTTTCCAATTCAGTTCTTTACACGAGGTAAGACAGCTTATAGATTTCCCTTCTAACCTCACTCCAGTTCTCCAATGATGTCATTATACCTTCTTCGTTTCCACCAATCTCAACCTTCTTCAATTGCTCCTGTCTGAATGTAAGCTATCTCTTGTTTAACCCACTCATTCACTTCTTCAGATTAAAAAAGTGTTGTCGGGAGAGCATATCCTTGTGAAGTTCCCGGTGACAGTCGATTCTATGCAAATAAAACTGTTCTATTACGATAATGTGGTCAAAACCGAAACTTCGCCTTTGATTAGCAACCATGATACATCAGCAGGTTCAATAGCTTTTCCATTCATCAGATAGTGTTTGTTTATCCTAGATTTACCAAGTGAAGTTACTGATCCGTTCATAAGCTCAACTGTTAATGAATTGAACAAGAATAACCCTAATGAGACCTCTCTTTCCATTGATACTGTCCCACCTTCTCCAATCAGTAAGAAAACAATTGAATCATCACACTTGATTCCGCTGTTCAGGAATCTCCTCCACTAGAGTGATCCTCAGTCCTAGCTCTTGCTCAAAAGCAATCGGTGATATAAGCACTTCTGAGGTGGAATGAATCGAATTTCATCAATTTCCTATATTTTAGGACAGTGATGATGAGCGGCTGGATGCCAAGCTTCTCGAGAAAATGAACGAGTGAGTATTGATGATTTTAGGAGCCAATTCGATATTTAGGCTGGAAAAAACTGACCAACAATCCAATACTGAAGCAGTCGTCAAATCAGAAACTAATGAATCTATGGTGAAGGCAGAAACTAATGAATCTGTGGTGAAGGCAGAAACTAATGAATCTGTGGTGAAGGCAGAAACTAACAAATATGATAAGTAATGTTCGCTAATAACTTCTCATGACATGCTCTCATCTTCAGCATCGAAGACCTGGTTGTTTATAACACGGAAGTCCGAAAGAAGTATGTACGAAGAGTCGTGGCTCCACGTTCACAGCCAAAGAGGAATCCAGTGATTTCCATTAATACATGGGGTTACATTCTATAATTCTCTTTAGGCTGTTGCTCCAACTAAATCAACAAGTCAGAAGCGAAACTTCATGACAGATGTAACCGTTGTTCCTCCAAAACGTAAAGGTTGTCTTGCATGCTTCCTACTGTTATATGTGTTGTTCAGTAGGTCGTCCATCGAAAGCGTTCATGATGGCCAAGAAAACAGCAGAGTTTGACTGTTTATGTTTTATAATATTGAAGATCTTTAAACAGAATTAAATTCAAAAATTTGGCCAAGCCTGTATTGAGAGAGAAGAAAGGCCTCAGCGACGATTCTTGTGAAGAAGCAGCCAAGAACAAAGTTCAGAACTGTTCCGATCTCTCGAAAGTTGAAACCAAAGAACAGGATGGTATGGAAGAGAATTCAATAGAGAAACCTGAAGCTCCCGTTGAACATCCTCCCATCGGTGTGTTTGATTCGCTTTTCATTGCAATCGTTGCGATTTAGTGGAGAGAAATGCCATTGATTTGGTTCGCAAGAAGTTGGAAAGGCTGAAAGGGAAGAGATCCAAGGAACCAGGCATGTTCTGGAAATCTTTCATGAACCATATCGTTTTTTCTGCAGAAACGATTGTTGAAAACCTGTTTGGAGACACCGATGAGGAAAAGCCATTATTCACTATGGATGACGTAAGCGACTTTGCTCTTTATATCCTCACATGGATGTATTTAGAACTTCTTGAATGGCTCTTCAAATATCGACATAGCTGTACCATCTAATTCTGTCCAGGTCAGAAGATGTAGTAAAGTTTCATAGGAAATATGTGTTTGCAGGAATCGTCACCGTACGTCTTGAACACTGAGGAAGGTGGGTATCCCTGTTGTAAAGAAAGATATTTTCTATGTTACAGATTTGAACAATCTTGGCGGCATGCAGGACGAAATCGAACCATCGGTATGAAAGTTGTGGGAGAGAGAACTGTTTACCAAGTTTTCGCATTGCAAAAGGGAGAAGGAGTCAAAGAGAGAGGAATAAGAGAAAGTGAGAGAAGAGGATTTTGTTCATTGGAAAACAAGATGTTTAGTTTGTTGTTGAGTACAACGGTTGATAAAAGAACAGTCGCTCATTCCTTTTACTTTTTTTTCCGTTTTCAGTCGGCCACATCTTCAATTTCTTCGGAAGGCGCTCTAGTAGTTCATGATATTCTATTCGATGATCTGTAAAATCATTTATCGATACACGCCCATTTCTTGTTCTCAATGTTCATTCCACTCCTTCCAAGTCTGTTTGGGTTTGTCCAATTCTACCTTTGACTTAGAACTTCTTGTAGATCATTCTCCTTGTTTGCTTCGTAGACCAAGAGAGACTTACCTTTTTACTTTCACCTGACCTTGTATGTGCCTCAATGTTCTCTTCAAGATTTTTTTCTTTTTCTTCTCCTCTCCGCTCTTCAAAAGAGACGAGACGGATGTTTGGAGAAGAGGTGTGATGCATTTTGTTTTTATATCTCAATTTTCTTTTAATAAATGTTTGTTATTCGAGTGACGTCTGATGAACTTTCAGAATGAACACCTCGCGTGTGATCGGAACTATTTTCCTAATCTTCACCATCATTAAAGGAAGTGATCAAGAGGTCATGAAGTTCATGTCAAGTTAGTTTTTCGTCATTCGTTCGAATTCTCGGCTTAATCCATTTCCATTAGAATTAGATAGAATTGAGTTTGTGTTTTTTGAGTTCTCTCTGAAACTGGGTCATAAAGTAGTCGTCACTCCCTTTCCCTATCAGTTATGGAATTTATCGTTTGCATTTGAATTGATAAACAAATATATTTCCGATTTTGGCCATGTCTTAACATTGACGCGAACAAACTTCAAATGCATTTTTGTATTTTTGAAAAACGAGAAGAAATACATTAACAAATTCAAGCCGACCTTGGAGATTGACGACGACAACGATTCCCTGAAGGAGAATTCTAGTTTCCATCTATTCATATACAATGCTCTCAACATTAAATTGTCTTTATCCATCCACAAAATCATATTTTGACAACACACCCAATGATTACAAGAATTGCAGATTTCTCAGCCGCTCAACCACAATCCATCTGGAGACCATCGATTCTTTTGTATTTCTTTCCCTTGCTCATTATCGGTTTAGCTGCGACTCGCAAGATATGCACTGATTGTCATCTTATTTACGGACAATAACAAATGACAAAATAATAATCTCGAAAGTTCTTATTCTCATGTTTTCCAATCACCCACGGGTTATATATCGGTCTTTAGTTTCTCTACGAACATCATCTCTCTCCCTCTCTCTGTGTATCTATCTCTCATTCTCTTCTTCTCATATGCTATTCTCATTTTATTTCTATGATGAATAAATTATTTTCAAAGAAAACAACTCCTTTCTCGTCTTTTCAGATGTTTTATTCAAAAACAAAAGCAACATGACCTTCCTTCTATTAAATTGAATTCAATAAGAACACAACCGCACTGTGAGAACGCTTAATCGAAAACTGAAATCCCACGTGAACTTACCACGTCGCTGAGCTTCACGTGAACTTTCCACGCAGCTCTGTTTCACGTGATCTTTCATGCAGATGTGTTTCACGTGAACTATCTACCCAGCTGCGTTTCACGTGAAATTGCAGTTGCGAAGAATGAAATGAAAACTGGGTTCAAGACGGTTTTCAAATCAAATGAAAAGATGTTCAACCATGAAACCACTTCCTGGGAAGAAGCTCTTCAGCAGTTTTAAACTTGATTTTTGTTCATTGGGATTCAAGCTTACAGAGTGGTCATCAACAAATTTTTATTAATCGATGAAGTAACTTCAGGCATTGCATATGTTGTCAAATCTACCGAACAAGACAACTAGAGATTGTGTTTAGAAGTATGGCCCTCGACCAACATCAAAGGCTGGAAGGTTTGCGGCAGCTCTGTTGTGTCGGAAATAAATTTGAGCAGCAACTTCTTGTAGGTATCGATTGTAAGCAGCACTGAAATAGAAAACATAATGAATTAAGGATTATATTCTATGAAACTTGAAATAAAAGACAACTTACTCGCTCATAGCTTCACTGGGTTCACCATGAAACGCCATACGATCTCTGAAATTCAAAAATTTTTTTGTTTCAATTGGAAGAGAGGCAGTAAGAGAGAAGAGATGAGGAGGAGGAGGAGAGAAAGAGATATTGAGAGTTAATATCTTTCTGATCCTCTTTTTTGCTGTTTTATAAGAAAATAGTTTTCATTAACCCGTTCATCGGGGGATAATCTGTTTTCATGTCTATTCCTTGAGCTATGCCATAAAGGGATATGTTGAAATTCAAGAAGATTTGTAATGAGTAACCATATATGGATGAGAATATTAAAAGAAGCTTGATCGGATTGCAAAAAATTCGTTCAAACGTATTGGTCATCTTGTTTATGCTTTGTTTAAAACAAAAATAATATCAATGGTAAGACAGAAGGAGACCGGCAATTAGTATGGAGATGAACGTCTATTTCTTTACATCCCCTCTTGCAAGGAAAACAGAGAGAGAGAGAGATAGAGAGAGAGAGAGAGGGGAGTCATCTCTCCCTCCTTTTCAGCTTTTTTGAAAATAAATTGTAAGGTTGTGTAGCTTGTGAGTTACATAAGCTATATATGGACAATAAACGTGTTGTTTCACACATTTGTAAGTTGTATATCTCGTGTAAAGTGAGAGAATGAGAAGGGTATGAGAAGTCTCATTAGTTCTTCATTTCTCGTCTTACCAAGATGGAAACGTTTCACTTTCACATAATCTCGAATAGGTTGTGACGTACATACATTCACTCATGGGTTATGTTGTTGATGAACTTACAAAGATAACTTACTTCATTTCCAGCGGGGTGAGAGCAAAAGCTGAGACAAGAATGGCGAGAATAATAAGGAGAAGCTTCATTTGGATAGGAGAGCAAGAACTCGACTGACGCTTCAAATTGAGGCGGTTTCTGAATCTGGAAGGAGATGGTGAAGACTTGGGGAAGGCGGAGCTTGTATTCTTCTGGATTTAGCTCTGAGTAAAATATATCTTAACGAAGAGAGTGAGAGATGAATTGAAAGCAGGAGAGAGTGAGAGAAAGAGAGAAGCAGAGATGGAAAGATGTGAAGAAGAAAAAAAAGATTACTTTTGAATACAAGATTGAACGTGTTGAAGATCAATCTATTTCCGTCTGAATACATGATGATGAAGCATAAAAGGTATTTCGTTAGTCAAACGCATACTCTCATCTTCAACCTTCTCATTCTATTTTTGGATATGAAGGAGAACACAAGTAAGGAAAGGTTGACAACTAAGCACATTCTTTATAGAAATGTACTTTGAGCTTACCAAAAAAGGAAGTTCTCATTCCTTTATTCCTTATTAGGTTCATTTTGAATATCTGATTTGAGGAGAATGAGAGGATTGAGAAGCTTAAGCCAACAAGAAGTTTCATTGAAATCCTCAAGGAAGCACACTCAATTATTTCTGACAAATAACTAATTAACAAAGAAAACAATTATTATTTTGTAAGCAATTAGTCCTTTCATTCAAATTTCAAAAAGAACAATTGGATTAACAAACTATTCTCTGATCATTCAGTTCATCTTCATTGAAAGTTGCTTCTCATCATCAATCTGGCAACAACGTGACCTATCTCATACTTTAACCTCTCAACATCCTTAACTATACTAGATTATGCAAATATTCAAAGAAATTCTTTCATACTATCATTTTTCTTCGATTTGTCGGATAATCACAGCTGCTCCCATATGTGGTCAGTCTAGTTGTATTTACTTTCCATATATATGTATATAAATATACTGATTATTCACCTGCAATGGTCAGAACATAAGCTCATCCTCCAGCTGTTGGTCACGAAGCTTCTCCATCAGTCAGACTCCAGCTTCAACTAGTGGTTAGTCCTATTCAGAATGATATGGATAATATCAACTCTATTGCTACTCCCTTACATAGAAGGACAATGTTAGTTTCCTTTCCCTCTATCTAACTCAAATGAAAAGCTACACCAAGAGTTGTTTTGTATTTGAGTGAACTTTGAACGCTTATCAAATGACATTCTTCCAGCTTCTATTGGAAATCGCTGTTCCTTCACACAACAATGTGGCCCCGGAGCATTTTGTTATGAAAATGTCTGTCGAAAGGATGGATGCACTCTATCAAGTCATTGTCAAATAGTAAACTGCTTCTTAATAGATTTTCTTATCTTATGTTCGTCATTAAGGGAGAGCTATGCCAATATGGGATGGTTAATGGACAACGTAGACCAGCTTGTTTCCCCGCTAGCATTGACAAGGAAACAACCGGTAACTGTCTTAGAATTATTTGATATTGATATCCGAGCACAACCGCTCACTGTACAACTCATATAGAGAATGAAAACATCTGAATGGGATAGTTTTCACGCCAATTTTATAAAATATGCTAATTTATTCAAATTAGTAGCAAATAAATTTGCAGAAGAGTATTGTCCTGGCGGTGGAGCTGTTGTGGTGGGCTTTGATGGAAAACTAACAACATGCGATTTGTTAAAAGCCTGCAGCAATGGTCACGTTTGTAACCCCCAATTTGGAATTTGTTGTACAAGTTTGTTCATCTTATTTGTTCTGATACATGAATGATACATTTGTGAAGAGCTACGCACATGTCCCCGACCTTCGAAAACAATGCTGAATGCGGTTACTGGACAACCGATCATGTGCCAAGTAAGACAGACTTCATTAGCTGAGCTCATTTGTTCAGATCAAATTCGGAAGAGTAATGCCATGTCCTGGTGAAGGTAGCTGTGAAACAAAGACTGGATTCTGCTGCATTAAAGGCCCACAAACGAATACAAGCACAGCAGGTACAGAGCTAACTTTTCATAGAAAAATAACAATGAAGCCATTCTCAGTTTCTTCTCGTCCATACAGAGGACAGACCTGCTCGACTCAAGTCGGATGTGATGGGGGTGCTGCTTGCATTTGCAGCAATTCAAGGGTTTGTCGGTAAGAGAGATATCCTAACGAATTAATTCATAAATCCGATAATAACAATTGAAGATGTGAATGCTCAACGGAACTTGGATATACGATCAGCTCAGATGGACGATCATGTGTTCGCCAAAGACGACGACTGAAGGAGAAATGTAAAACAGATATGGAATGCTCAGCTGCTTTCTCAGAGTGCTCAACGGGAGGTTGTCGATGTAAAACAGGATTCCAACGAGATGGTGATGGTGGTTGCAAGCCTATCAGTAAGATTAAGTACTTTGATATATTTTAAACAAGATTGATCAAGGTTATCGCTGTCCAGCTGGATTACCTCTTACCAAGAAGGAAGAAGTTGTGAAGTGCAGTTTGAGTAAGAAGTTGATGACTTCATTCAAAAGTTTGAAAACGGCTTCGAAAACAAAAAACGAGACGACTGAGGAATCAGCAGGTTGAAAAAAGCATTAAAAGCTGAGTAAATAGACTATTTTTAGCTATCAATAGCACTTTCTCTGACTATGTGGCTGATGATTGCCCTCAGGGAAACTACTGTGTTCCAACATTCGATGACTCTGCAAATCCTGGGTTCTATCAAGTAAAATGAGAAGAGGAATGAAAAATGAAAATGTTAATGACTTAAGGGATTCTGCTGTCCTTCTCCTAATGATATTCGCCCAATTTGCCCTGTTGGAATAGCCCATGAGACAAGCTTCTATCCAGACTATGGATGTGCTGAATGCCCGAATGATTACTATTGTCATCAGGATCGAATGGCAACTAAGAAATCTGTAAGCCTAAACGTCATGAAATAGCAAAAGAGTTACTTCAACAGATTTGTTGTCCCAAGCCGTGTGTATCATTAGAAGATGTTTTCCATGACGGGCAATGCTATCCAATTGCATATTATGGAGATAGTTGTCAGGTATTAGCGATGCCGATTTCATTTGTTAGTCATTTTCTTAACCATCCAATAGATCTCTGCTCAATGCTCATTCTTCAAAGCTTCCACGAATCCTTTAGCTGACATCTCGAACCTTGAGTGTTCTAGTGGAATTTGTACCTGTCCAGCTGGCTACAGCCATTCAGAAGGATCATGTCAAAGTAATTGTTTTATTTCAACGCTCATATTGATTTTATCTTAAGGAGTGATGTGTACTGTTGGTCTTCGAGGAGAACCTTCTGTTGATAGAAACAATCAACTCATCCGATGCTCCAGCTCATCGGATTGCAGCCAAGGCCATATGTGTGATCCAAATGGCAAAGTTTGCTGCCGAGGAACAAACAGTTAGTTTTTCTTCTCTCCCATGCTTCTAATGCTCATTCCATCTTCAAGGATGTCCCAAACAATTCGTGGAAACCGGAGAGCTCTGTACCGATACAGGAAGCTGTAAAAACCCAGGAGAAATGTGCTATTGGCCAAAAACAGGAAAAGTCAAAGTCTGCTGTACCCATGATGAGTCCAGTAACTGAGCTTCCAGCAGTTGTGTTATCTCATAGCTTTGTTTGTACAAATTGATAATGTATTAATTAAATTATTCGAATATAAAAAACGTCGTCAAAAATTTATTGTGAAGCTCGAAGATCAAAGATCCATAAGATTCAAATCTAAGAATGGAGTCATGTGTTCCAAAGAGGAATTTCTATTTATGATTGAACAACAGTCACGGGAGCTGCATATACAATGGTTGCTGTACAATTTGGTGGAATCGGTATGTAAGAGCCAATTTCATGTCCAGGAACAGCTCCAGGTATAACTATTGGTTCGATGATTCGATTCTCTTGAGCGTGAGTCACTAGCGCTAGCGGCTCCTGAGCGAGAGCTGTTGTTGAATTTGGTTCGGTAACTATTGGGACTTTTTCTGGCATCTGTTTTCAACAATACTTTCGTTTTAAGTTTGAGGGCTTACTTCGGTGGCCATGACTATCGGTTGAACCTGTGTTTTACTTATAAGGGGAACTCGCCCTTCTTTCTTTCCTTTTCCCGATAGACCGTTCTTGAGAGCACTGAAGCCACTAGAAACGGGAGGAAGTAGTAGGACAACGATAGTCTATAAAGTCATCCACGTTAATAAGAATATGAAAAGAAGTTGTTTACGATGAGTGGACCGGAAAAGTATTCCATCAGGCGGAATGTGAAGTAAATTTGAACAGCTTTGTCATCATCATACTCATAGCCAGAGATTAGCTCGAACTCTTGTTCAAAAGAATCTGAAGAAAGTATATTAAGAATTCAGATGAAAGATCACGTTGACGTCATTACAAAAGAAGAATCCAGCTGGCACAATAACCAAAATCGTGTAAAGTAGGACAAGGAGCACATCTTTGGATGAAGCTAATGCTGGTTCTTCACCTTCTTTTTTCGATTTTTTGCCTGATGTACAGAGAGAGACAAGACCCTATAATATAAGTTGAGGTGTTGTACGAGAACCAATCATTACGCAAAAGAGTGCAACAATGAAGACGACGAAGGCAATCCCAATGACGAAGCAGGCTGTGAATAGAGGCAAAGGTCTATAATCGAAATAACAGAAGTGGATGATGCAAGACATCAGCCAGCCGAACATTTGGAGAGCGTAGAAAATGGAACTTAAACATTATAATTTGAAATGATTGGGTGCAAAAGGATTACTATGCATCAGAGGTTGGGTAATCAGTTTTACTGCACGTTGAGAACACCGTTATGAAGAGAAGGACAATAGCGCCAATGAAAACACTGAAAACTCCGGCAGTCACAGACACTGTATAACCATGACTGACGATATCAAAGCTGAACAGTATCATGTTAATGAGATAAGAACGATACTCTTCAAACCCGATCCCAATTCTATGCTCCCCGGGGTAGGATATGGACATGAGGATGTGAATGACTTTGAATATTGCTCCCAATGTGATTGGTAGATAAGCACCGGATATGAAGCAAGTGATATAGTTCTTTTGAGATCTTGTATATATGAATGTCAATATGATGTGAATGACAAGACAGACCAATGCAAAGGTTAATCCAAGATAACCTATGAGACAGTGATGAACGTAACAACATGAATGAAGTGTTTCTCACCTGCATAGAAGCTATCGTCGGTTGACAAGCTGGCAGGCATAGTACAATTAACTTTCTTCTTGACTGTCTTACAGTAGATGTCCATCAACGCTTGTTGAGTGAAAATCATTTTGATTACCTGTAAAGAGAGTATCGTGAAGAGGTCTAGTAACGAAAGGATAGAGAAGCATTGATAAGAAGGAGTAACGAACAGTGAGAGCTTTTCCTCTTCTGAAACTAAACTCTGACTAAACGTAACCAAGGAGATTGGTAATATCCTCCTATCACCTGCTTTGAAAGGCAAAATTTTTAAAATTTTCTTGAAAAAATGCAAAATTAATTAAACGAACAGCTGTCAGCTTGTGAAGTATTCTGAGCTTTCCATATTCTAACAACCGCCGATTATCGTTTTCAATACAATTTTTCGTTTTTTTTTGTTTTTTTTTTTTAAAAATACAAATCCCCGCATTTGCATATTCTTGGAACAAAACACTCGATTGTATGCTAATGATGGCTCCACGTGAAACGTGAAACGCTGCGCTTCCATCTCTCCTCGATTGCATCATTTTGCTTTTTGTTTTCGCACTGAGCGGTTGTGTTATTAAAAAAAAGATTTATTTACAAGAAAGGAAAAAGAGAATTATGGTAATCACAATCGAATTTTATGAGAAAAGAAACGAAAAAAAAGAAAAAGGAAATGAGTGGTTAGGTGAGTGTTGTGATGTGTTATCATCATGACTAGTACAGTTAAGCATTTGCTTGAAGTTCCAAAAGCTTCTTAGCAACTGGAGCCTGAATAGAGAATGAGTATTATTAGATGATGACGTAACTGATGCTTACCTGGCCATTACGGATGAGAGCATCAGTCAATGGTCCAATCCAATGACTTTTTGTCTTTAAAAGGGCAATCAAAACATCAACTTGAGCTTCAATAGAGTCCTTAAATGAATATATATAGAGAGAGTTCAGTGATGCTCAACTGGATTGCTTCCCCTCAGGGTATTATGAAACAGTTCTCTTCTGCCCTTTTATGTCATATGGAATGATGGTCTCATATGATCAGGGGGCAAAGAAACAAAACGTGACATTGTCCCTCTAACACATTTTACCACAACAATTCATCTTTTCAGTTGAAAAGACTCAATTTGCATGTTCTGCTTCATTGCCTGGGGGAATTAGAAGCAAACAAAGCTTTTGCCACCTTTTTTTCAACTAAACATAGAAAAATAGAAACCTTTGAATAAACAGCTCCCATTTCATAGGATTTTAAGACATTACGAGCAACCAAGATGGGGACAATATCCTTGATGTTCAATCCATGAAGAGTTGGACGAAGACTATCCAAGTGCTGAGCCTGTAACACATATTGCTCATAACAATCTCATTTCTCGTTAATTCATATAGTTATTGTGTGAAATAAAATGTTTTTCAGTTTACCCTTCCTTTATCCTTCTATGCTCCTTCTCTCTCTCTCTCTATCCTTCTCTCTCTCTCACTCGCAATGTCGTATGCTTGAGTCTCTCTTTGCATGCAAGTGTGAAAAGACACAAAAAGTAGAAAAAAAAGAAATTCGTTCTGTTAATTTCAGTAAAAAACAATATTCTTTGTCTCTCTTTGTCTTTCCTCTTCTGTTTCCGTTATGAGAGAGAATGAGAGAAAGAGAGGGAGAGAGAGGAAATTTAAAATTTAATAGATCTACATGTATATACCTGTGTGGCTCGGATATCAGCTACTGCTTGAGAACATGAAACTGCCATTGTGCTGTCTCTGAACGCAAAAAGAAAAATTCAAATAAAATGAGTTTTATGTGAAGATGAACGGAACATGAATGGGAACGATAAGAAAGATGAGAGATCATTGAGGATAGAAAGTGATTTGGGTGGCTTCGAGCTCTCTAAGATGGAAAATGAAACCAACAAATACGACGTCGAATGAGTTGAATGAAGAGAGAGAGAGAAAATAAAAAAAGCGGCCATTTATAAGGTTGTTTCAAAGAGAATTTTACAACTGAGGTTACACACTTTACTCAATCTTTCGACTTTCTTATTTTAACATTTGCAAGGAATGGAAGAAGAGAGAGAGAGAGAGAATAGGAGAACAACGAGAGATAGAGAAGATGAGAGGAAATGAGAGAATGAAGCATACGTAGCTGTAGCAAGAGCACCTTACTCCTCCCAATGTTTCTTTACCACATCGGAAACTCATCTGATGTTCTTCGTCGTCGTTTTTTTTTTCTGCCGACGAACGAACACATAAATGAACACAGAAGCATCAAAAATTAAACAAAAAAATGGAAGAATGTTTGACGCATAGAGTTTCACAGGCAAATAACGTCTGATGTTGGGTGTTTTGGCGTTGATGTTGACAAGTTCAAAAAGAAAGTTGGAAAGTTTGCAGAAGTTGTAAGAATTTCATAAGATTACTGGATGTTTCATTGAATGAGATGATGGAAGGAGGAGGAAGAAGATGAAGTGAGAGTTCAAAAACAACCAAATGTCCAGAAAAGCAACTAGGCGAAAGGAAGCAAAGCTTTTTGGACAATGTTTTTTTCCGATTTCCATCTCTCCTCACATTGAATTCTCTCTGTCTCGGCTGTCCGTTACTCTCTCTATGTCTTTATAAGGCAAAAGAGACAAAATAAGACTGCTCAAGCTTCAATATGATATAACTATAGTAAAGAATCTCGAGATGAAGCTGTAAGCAGATGGATCAGAAAAATGAAAAATCTTTCTCTTCCTTCACACACACACACACACACATATATAGCGAACAATGAATTTGAAGACATGAGAAGCGATTCTACGTGACTTCCAAAACTATTTGACAACTTCTGTGTCGTCGTCATTCTTCTTTGAAAAACGGTTGTGTACGTGAGATGACATCTGATGACAAATGAAAAATTATGATGTCAAAATATGGTTGAAGAGTTGAGAAGAAGAAGAAGAAGTAGGAGAAGAAGTAGAAGAAGCAGAGAGAAACAAAAAAACGTCTGATGAGTTATGAAGAAATGAGAACTGAATGTGCATGTGTCGTCTGTGAGTGTGTGACTGCCACGCTAGAAAGGAGCCTGCAAAATCGGCTTTGAAGCTTCATGGGAAAGCGTGTTGGTTCTTTGTCTTCGCTCCTGTCCTTTTGATAGTTTAGCTTGCTCTGCGAACAGAATGATCTATGAAATGTAACCAAATACCATAAAAGGAAGAACCAAATATATAGATGAAATAACGTTAAAAATAAATTTTATTTTGAAAATTTGCCGGAAAAAGCTGGGCAACAGCACTAGCACTAGCAGAGCAGCAACAGCAGCAGCAGCAACAGCAAGAGCACTGACGGCAACAGCAGAAGACTGCGGAAGAAGAAGAATGGCAAATGAAGAGAACGTATTGACATAATGGTATTACAGGAAGGTAATGAAGTCACAAATGAAAGATTTCATTCGAGCAAACACAATAAGATGGAATGAGAATGAAATTTACTTTTCTCTCTGATATTAGATGAATCATTGATTAGCTGCAGTCAAACTGTCGATCAAAAAACGATTGGAATAGAAGATGCAAAAGACGTTTTCGTTGTTTTCTCCTTCCTTCCTCACCTCTCTCAAACACTCTCTCTCTATCTCATTCTCTCTCTCTCTCTCTTAACCTCCCTAGCTGTCAACTCTTTTTTTATTTTAAATATTCATTTTTGATGAAATATTATTGACATTGTAATTGAATATGTAAAGTAGAAAACGAAGAACTTTCATTAAAAAGGATAAATGAAGTTGCTTTTTCTTCGTTTTCGCCTTCGCTTCAGCTTACAAACGATATAAACATTCGCCAAAAAAGGCAGCAACAACTCCTTTCCTCTCATAAATATAATGAAAATGAGCATAAACTCATTAAGATACATATGTATGTACGATAGAAGGGGAAAGGAGTAGGAGGAGTAGAAGGACAACAACCGTTTAGCGAATCAGAAATTTCGTAAATGACGGAAAAAATATTTTTGTTCACGTGAAGTTTACGTAAGCATGAGCGTTTGAATTGAATGAGCACGAGGAAGGTCACCGAGTAATAGCTTCTTGTCCTTAACATAGTCTTTGTGAAGAGCCAAAAAAATTCTTCATAAATATCTTGTCTTGTATAAGGAAGTAGTGGCATCGGAACAAAGCGGAACTCTCTTGACTTCCAAAAGATGAAGATGAGCATGAAGTTTTAACAACACAAAGAAGATCTTTCTTTATAAATGAGCGACGACTGGCTGACAGGGATAGATGGAGGAGGAAGAAGCTGAGAGGAAAATTGAAACAATTGACGAACTGAAAGCTCTTTTGGTAGTGCAGATCAGGTCAACCAGTTCCGAATCCCCAATGGAGATGTTGGACAGATGGAAGAGATCATTACAACACCTCGTAGATGGTAATTCTTGTCTCTATATGGAAATGAGCTATTTGACGTTTTGACAGATGAAGAAGGACATCTCAAGATTGTTATCCCCTTTTAGACAGTACTGAATGTATGTTTGTACTTATCAAATGAATGAAAACCATTAAGGCTGTGACAGAGTGAAGAAGGCATAGAGTCGCAGGGTTGTTGAAATGAGAATGTGGGAGTCGGAAGCAGGGTGTAGATATGGAAAGGAAAAGTATTTTTTGTGTCTCAATCACTCCAGATGGTCATTATATGAACTATGACATTGGTTGGCTTAACTATACGTATAGCTTATGATTGATTTCAAAGGATTAAAAGGCTCGGAAATAGATAGCGATCATCAAATATATTACAAAGACTATTGTGTAAGATGAGATGAGTAAGGTAAATACATCCAAATATAGAATGTGGATGAGTTAAGAGGGAGATGACTAGCTGTCGGAAAGAATCAGAGAGAGAGAGAGAGAGAGAGAAAGAGAGAGAGAATGGTTACTTCAGTCCTTATTAGCCTATAATCTCATGTGAGGACAGAATAAGAAGTCCATTGGCTGCCATATGAAATGAGAAATCGATGTCTTATTTTCCAATAAAATGACATAAAAATAAAAATAAAAAAAAGCATTTATGGTGGCAAATATGGAAAAGCGAAGTAACAATGGCAATGCTGCTTTACACGGCACATTCATCAAGGGAATTCTCTGAAATATTCTTTCTGCGAAGACATACAAATTGATAAAAGTCTGTTATAAATCATTGGCTTTCACAATAAATTCTTCTCAAATGGACAATTTCACTTTTTGTCTTAATTCACATCTGAATAGATGGATTAGCTATAGCTTGAACAACAACAACATATACACATGGCTATACATACGCGCATAGTCACATACAGAGGATGTAAGGGATGAAGATGGCTGAATGAGGCGATAGGTGCTGTCTTGAGAGGTCAAATGGTCAGAAAATGAGATGAACGACAGTTAACAACCTTATATACCAATAATCATCTCAATTGCTATACAAACTTGGAACTTTATCTGTCCTCTTCAGCTTTTCTTCCCATGTGACGTCAGTGGGAGATTCAGCGTGTACCGAAATTCATCAATGTCGTTCAAAAGTTGAACTTGATAACTTTATGCACTCGGGGTAGTAGGGCAGATCATGTGGTCAGAAGGCAAAGACCAAAAAATGAAAAAGAGATGAGAGTAGTGCTGAAATGAAGTAGGATCGTAATGTTTGAATATCTTAAGTATTCATATCAGATGGGAAGATGAGATGCTATTCATCTTCGAAATACTTAGCGAATCATAAGTGTAACTTAGATTGATCTCCTTCACATATGTTGACATACTTGGATGATTGAGATATGCAACAGTTGTTTCTGAAAAAAAGGAATCCTCTTTCATTATCTTCAGACCTCGAAGGTTAGAACTCCCATAAGAGAGAGAGAAGGTGTGAATGAGTGAACGATTAAGATGAAATGGGTGTGATGAGTGATAATTCAAAGAAGGAACTTTTCTTCCCCTCCACCCCCTCTCTCTCTTCCCCTTCAGGGAACAAAAGCTCTTTGAACATTCAGAGAAGATTCTAATCATAATTCGATAAAGTATTTTTCTTTTCTTTTAGTTTATGGAAAAGAAAGAGGGTCTCCGGATGTTTGTATATTAATGTACTCGATGAAGAGGTAATGGCTTCAAATCGCATTTCCTCTCACAATCTTCTCTTCACTCTGCCATCTTGCCTCATTTGGCTATCTAAAGAGGAAAAGAGACGATGAAAACGAAAATCGCTTCATATCATTTCATTGCATTTTCCATTTATTTGAAAAATCTTTTTCTTCGAATTTTCTAATATTCATGGAACTAGCTGATGATTCGTCTCATTGCTATCTCGATTAACGTTTTGATGAAAAAATTTGAAAACAAGAGATGCTCATGTATGCACCTGCAATCAGTCTCGTTCACTCGTTCTTTCAGACTTCAATCGTCTTCATCTAACTTGAGATATTCTCTTGAGAACATCCCAATGTAACAAGCTCAGAAAAGCTTATGGGAGCATATAATTTGTGTTCAATGTGCTTTCTAAGTATTCAATCAGATACTTTTTCATCTTCTGCTACTTCTTCTTCTTCATCAGCCTTTTTGTTATCTCTCTATCACCTTATTTCGCATTCTCAATTTTCCTTCTTCTCTTCTCTCCTTCCTTTCTCTACGCTAGTGCATTCGCAGTAGAGAAAAGGTATTTATTTCTTAAAAACTTAGAGCACGAGATCGCGTTTGCTTGAAATATTCAAATGTCTTCAGTCTGAATCGATCTGACCACACCGAACTCGCGGTTTCTTCCTCCATTACCTTCATCATTTCGAGAATTTTCTTCCGCCTATGAACTCCTTCGTTATCATCAAAAACAGCCTTCAGATGAATTAAAATGGTACGATCTCATCGCTTTCTGAGCGAGCGTCGGAAAATTCAAAAAAACCTTTATCTCCTTATACTTGGATTCCTTCTTTTAGTTTTTGGAATAACAACCGTCTTCACGTGGCTATCAGTCGACGGTACTTTTCAATCCCTTTCAAATGAGTCTCTTCTCTTTAAGTATTGGCAAACCAGAGAAATGTAGAACTACGAGTCAAACGATCGACTTCTGATTGTATAGCTTCATCCTGTATGCCTCCATCATTCCGAAGTATTTCTCATTCAAATTCGTTTCAGCATCCAAGAAACCTGAAAATGATCTCTTTCCGACTGATTTATTCAGTCTGGAAACAAGACAACAAGGAGCCGTAATATTTCATTTGGCTGGTCTTGTCTATATGTTTATTGCTTTGGCTGTTGTTTGTGATGAGTTCTTCGTTCCGAGTTTATCAGTTCTCAGAGATTATGTAAGTTTTCAATCTTTAAATAATTCACTTTACAAACTTGTTTTCAGTTGAGCATTTCCGATGATGTTGCTGGAGCAACTTTCATGGCAGCCGGTGGATCAGCTCCAGAATTCTTCACGTCTCTCTTCGGCGTGTTTATAACTCAGAATAATGTAGGCATAGGAACGATTGTTGGTATGAAATGATAATTGAAATTCTTTTTTTTCTGACAACATCATAATTAAGGCAGTGCCACCTTCAATATTTTGTGTGTTTTAGCCTTCTGTACACTTTTTTCTCGAAAAGTCCTACACTTAACGTGGTGGCCATTGTTTAGGTGAGACCATAGCAACCCAAAGAACACGCTTCATTCTCATATGATTATAGGGATATGGCTTTTTACTACGTTGCCCTGATATTTCTTGTCATTTTTTTCTCGGATGAACAAATTTCGTGGCATGAGGCACTTTGCATGTTCCTAATTTATGTATTTTATGGCTTATTTATGAAATACAATTCGCAAATGGAGATATTAGTCAAGAGTTGGCTGACATCTAATTCAGTTCAGGAAACAGTTGATGTGAATGTAAGGATACATCTTATCATTATCATTCATGTGATTACGTCTATAGTTTAATCGTGAGCCTCGTCGATCCATTCCTTTGATTCATGGTGGAGGAGCTCAACTCAGAAATGGATTAGCACAGATGGTAATTCACGATGAAGTAGAAGATGGTAATCATTTCTCGTTATTTTCTATTCGAAAATGTGTTTTTGAGATTGAAAATAGATTTCACGAGCATTTTTCCTCATCAGTTTAGGATGTTTTTCAATATGATTGCCTTTTACATGCTTGTTTTAGATACATCAAGTTCTGAGAGAAGCCAACCGTCATCAACAAAGGTTATCCGTGTTAAACCAGCTGAAGAGAAACTGTTCACTCCAACTAACAGTAATCAAGTTTCTTAATATCCTTTCTTAACATTCATAAGCAGCAGGTACTACCATCACAACCATCAGTGGATCCATTGCTAGTAGATCGAATAATAAGATAGCTCCAGTTGAGGTAAAACATCATTTTTATGGATTTTTCTGATTTCCTGAAAGCGTTGAAAGATTAAAAACATTAGATTCTGAGAAAAACAACCGCTCATCATGTGCTTTATGTTCAAATGATAAACTAGTGGGCGTGGTCAATACCACGTTTTCTAACGTCTACGTGTAATCTCAAATTATGCTAATTTCAGATTATTGAGAAAGAGACGAGCAATGGCAAAGCTTCGGTAATCCTTTTAAAACATTAGTTTCGTTTGATATGATAAATGATTTGTAGAAAGTGCAAAGTAATGGAAATGGCAATCAAATCCATGTGCCACCATTGGAGATGGATAAGGTATCCTTTAAAAATAAATAAATGTTAATAATAAATAATTTTAATTTCAGTTGTCAGTATCATCTAGAGAAGAACAGCCTTTAGACCTGTCATGGCCAGAAACTACATTAAAGCAAATTATTTATGTTGGATTATTACCCATAATGCTCCCGTTGGCATGCACTCTACCAGACGTCCGAAAACCAGTGAATTTTTAATTTTTCTTGGAATTTCGTTACCAATTTCTAAATATTTCAGACTCTTCATCGCTTTTTTCTTATAACTTTCGTAGGATCCATTCTTTGGATTGCTTTGTTTTCATATTTGATGGTCTGGTGGGCGAATACGATCGGTGAAACATTTAGAATTCCAACTGAAGTAAAGATTTCTAACTTAACGATTCTTCATTCTTACCTTTTGCAGATAATGGGTTTAACGATTCTAGCCGCTGGCACAAGTATCCCGGATTTGATCACAAGGTTCTAAAGATCATAAACAGTTTCAATCGTTTTCATTGATTGCAGTGTCATTGTGGCGAGGAAAGGTTTGGGCGACATGGCCGTCTCTAGTTCTATTGGAAGTAATTTGTTCGATATCTGCATCGGGTATGAATGGATAATAAAAAAAACAAATTGCATTCGGAAAAAAATGCTTCTAGACTTCCTATTCCTTGGCTTCTGTTCTTCTTAGTTGCTCTATTGAAAGGATCAGAAACAGTCCCCACAGGTAGAGATCTACGGGATATGAGGATGATGTAAGAAACAATTGAATTTTCAGTTCCTGTTGTATCAAAAGGACTAATATGTAGTGTGGGATTGCTGTTTGTGATGCTCCTATTACTTGTTGTTTGTATAGCTTTATCAAAATGGAAGATGGATAAGTACTTCGGCTTCACAATGATCGTCTCATACTTAACTTTCTGTATAATTTCCATATTCCTTGAGACAGGAATGTTAACATGTCCTTTACGAGTCTCTTCTGTTTGTCAGTAAAACCTAATTTATAAGAATACAAGAAGATGTTAAACTATGCTATTAAATATTTCTATAAACGCTCTCTTTTCGGCTAAAAAAACGAAATAAAACGGGACGGGAAGATTGAAGACGAGACGGTGAGAAAAGGATTTCATTAAACGCCAAGTCCTTTTGTGGGTCATCGTCATTGTTTCTACTCTATGGAGCGGATTTAAAATTTGTAACTTCCTAGACCGATCTTACGCATTCTCTCATTATTTCCATCTCCTCGTATTTACTTCAAACTTCGTATTCGCCCTCCATCTCTAACCTTATGTTTAGAGAAAGATTATTGTTATAAACGTCCTTCGTACTTACTCATTTGGTTGCCATATTTCCCCTTCAATAACCATTTAACTTGCAAATGAGGAGAAAGTTCCGCATCTTGTACATAGTGATAGTAGCTCTTACACTAAGTTTATGTTCTGTTTATATCTCCAACTCGGAGACCATCTTCTTCTCATCCTCAGCTATAAAAGCTCTGCCCATACTCAGGCCGAACCCCGTCTTGTACGGAAAATTTTCTGTAAGCTCACTATCGTTATGATCATCATGATGTTGCAAGATTTCAGAACTTTTCAAAGGATCCATTATTCGATTCTAATCTAGCCATTGTAGAAGTCATAACAGAAGGAAAGAAAACAGATGCGTACAGGTTGGTTTATCTGAACTTGACGCGCGCGATGAGTTCGTTTTAAGGACAGCCATAGGATCAGTGCAATGCTATGCAGCCATGAAAGGTCACTACATGTACCTGTTGGACATGGAGCATTATAAGCCATACTGTGGACATCACAAAGATGTTGAGTTCCTACATCTAACCTTTTTTCACTTTAATGTTTAGTTTTACTACCGACGACATTGTGTCATAGGCCATTTGATGGATACACGTCAACACGATTGGTACGTCTTCCTCGATTCTGATATGGAAGTTGTAAATGAAAAGAGGTTGTTCACCAAAGTTATACAGTCAACTCATCTTCTCATTTTGAGATCCTTTTCCGAGTTCATCGATTCGAAACATGATGTACTTCTCTACGATCGTTTTTGGAATTGGGAGATAATGGCGGGTTTGTTCGATGGCTTGAGCTGAAATTTACATTAATTATCTCATCAAGGATCATATATTGTAAAAGGAAGTGATTTTGGAAAGAAATTTGTAAAAGGTTTTGCGAATTTCGAATTCCAACATCCGAAACACAAACATCATGGAACAGACAACGGTGGAATACAGGTTATCGTTAACACTGCAATGACCTCATGAGTTCAAGTCTTCAGGCTTATGTGGCTGAGCTCGTTTTCAACGGAAGAAGTGAAATTGAAGACTGTTGGAAGATTTGGGAAAAATCGAAAGGATGGGACGACATTTTCGTTCACGAATGGTGCGTTCGGAAACATTTGGGTGCAGAGATAGACAAGGGAAAAATTAAAGTGTTCAAAAAGGTTTGGGTGGTAATAACAAACATTAATATTTATACTAACTCTCAGGGGACCGCATGGGCCAGAGATGGCGAGCTGACAGGCGGAAAGTGGAGTAAAGACTTTGACTTCATTCTGCACGGGCGCAAAGAATCCAAGAAAAAGCCATATGATCCGAAAAAGTAAAAAAATCTCTCCTATTATACTCATCAAAGTCCTAACTCCAGAAAAGAGTACTGGTATGACGTTAGATACAAGCCTCTGGACCTCAATGATTGTACTGCTGGTAATGCGACATGGTTCAATAGGGCAGATATGATGATCTCAAAGTGAGTAATACTTCATTGATAAATTCCCATGTGATGTTTTCAGGAAAGGGGTTGAAGAACATCTTATAAGAAGAGCAAAAGGTATAGAATCGTACTTGAAGAGCGTTTTCAAACGAACTAACCGAACAATTGATCTCGACGGTCCATTTATAAAAGATATTGTACAAAGATTTTCTGTTTATACACCACGACCTTGAAAAAATGAAGAAAAATGCAGCGATTACGGTTTGCCACTTACGGATTTCTATTAAATGCTCTGTTAATGTGAGTTGTTCTGATCTGAAAATAAATCGATTAATATACGCGTAATAACCACACACACACACAACCATGCAATGCGTGCATTGAGTTCAAAATGAACTCACGTATACGTGTACACGTGTGAGATATGCTAATTTGATAACGCAACAATGTATTACAAATGACGTCAGTGTCTTCACTACTTTATTGAAAGAACTGTTTTTAATATTATTAGAGATCATCACATCATATGAGTATTTCTTTAAAACAGAATATTGAATATCACAAAAGCATCAAGTATCAGTTGAATGTAACAATAACAGATGGAGAAATAACAAAAAATAACGATTTGAGGCTAAAACAAAGAATCCCAGCCTGTAGCTTCTAATTGTGGAGATCCTGCTTTTACAACGGCCGTTGGTATATGAATCAGACCTGTGTCTTGAGCAACTGAGCCATCTTCACTCATATTATCATCACCGTATGACATGACTGATCCTGCTTCACTACTAAAAAGGAAAATAAATCGTAGTCATTTATAAATACTTACGGAGCAATAGTCGTAATGTTTCCTGGCGTGAAGGGTGCCATTGCAATCGGTTCCAGATTCAAACGCTTAGGCTGTGGACTAGACGGACTGTCTGGCAAGAAACGCTCAGATGGCTGTTTAATAGAAGTCGGCAGTTCCGAATCGGCTTTCGAAGCCGGAGTAAATTCCAACTCAGGTGGTTGGGATGTAGGTCCAAGCAAAGGACGTTGTGGATAGGGTGTAGAGGTAATAATTGTATGAGACGGGTGCGGGGTGAATATGAAGTCCGGCGAAGTTTCTTGCCAACCCCGTTTGCGCGGTTTTTCAAGAGTAGTCTAGAAAATGTTGAATGTAATGGTTCATATCAATAGTTGGGTACCTTTTCAATTTGATTGAGCTCGCCTTGTACTCTCACAGGAATGAGTCGTGATAATGCAGATGCAACCCCTCCAGATTTCGATAAGCTGAGCAATTGCCTAAAACAGATAGATATACTTAGTGTTGAAACGCGATATACTTTTCGTCGATTGCAGTCATTTGCCTGAACGTTAAGATGTCTACGAGACTATTAGATGTCTCAGTTGTATAACGCGAACGATGGAAGAGATCAACGAGATCAGCAGATCGTACCTTAAGAAATAGTAAATATGGGTTTTCTTAACATAACACCCACCCATTTTTGTAAGCATTTGGGTGGATACCAATCCTCATGACGTGAACGGATAACCTAAATCAAGGAATACCATCATTGGCACGATTAGTTAAGGTTACTTCTATAGCTGTTTCAACAAACAAAGTCCTATGAATGGATGGAAACCGGAGGGGGTCGACTTCTTCAGTCTGTTTAAGCTTTTCGAAACATTGAATAAGGATTTCGAGTTTCTCTAGAACAGCACGTTTCCTTTTCAGACAAAATGACTTACTGACCTCTGACAGTTAACTGGAGCTCCAAGAGTTGAAAAAAAAACTTGTCTCTAACACCTAACATTAATTTCAGTTTCAAGTAACCAGGATACTCATCGAGAGTGAATGACTCTAAATCTTGTATGACACCTTTCTTGAACAACCTGCAAGCCATCATGAACTATAGTCTAAACGAGGTTCGTACTTTTTTCCAAGTTTTCCGAGGTTAATATATCGAGTCTTCATCACTCGAGCACTTTCGTCAATATTATTTTGAAGAGTTTTTAGAAAAATTATGTAATTGTCAACAGACCTGTCAAAACAGGGCATCACCTATAACATACATCATAGTGCTAAACAAGGTTCTCACATACTTCAAGACAAGTTAACCTCCAAGCTTCATTAGTATCATCTGGGTGCAAACAAACGAGTTTTTTATAAGTTTCCAAGAGTAGTTTGCATAGCATCTGCCTGAAAGCTCACTCACGTCAAAAGAAGGAAGTAAATCACTAACACGTCATTCACGACACTCACGGGGATCACATAAATTTCACGTAATTTCCACGTAAGTACGCGAACGAAAATACATTTTCGTTTTGTTCGAAAGTCAATGAGGATCGGTTGAAACTTTATAATAAATAATCCCAACTAACCAAGTATTTTTCAGGTTCTCCTCATTGAATCCACCAAAACTAGGGATCAGGTCTGTCAAGTTGATTTCCTCTGAACTCTTCAGAATAGCTTCCATTGAGAGAGTATTAATCAGCTCTGTTGAGAACGCTCCTATCGATATACCTAGCTTTTTCAGAACGGCGACTAAAATACAACAATGACAAATATGATTACCTCAAAGCCTCTTACAAAAAAACCTTCGCCGTTGGTCTATACGTATCACTCTTACTTCCATGAGATTGGGGTTTTCGATGATATCCTGTAATCGACATAAATTCTAATACATCTCGAAGTTCTATTACCGCAGGTTTGAAACCAAGTCTTGCCCATTCTCGCTTCTTATCCTTGAGCATGTTTTGAACACGGATGACTGGCCTCTTCAATTCATCAGCTATTTCAGCTGTACTTTTATGTTGAGACTTAAGTCTGAAGCCAACGTTCAAACTTAGTCATTATTTTTCCACTCACGTATACACCAGGAGGATTTCCTCATCTGAGAACGGAGTTGGTACACCTACATGGTGTGGATCAAATATTAACATCATGCGGCGCATCACTTGTCCAGCTGAACGATGCTCCAACCATTTGCCTAAAAAGAGTCAATAGATTTTTACAGATTTTCTTCTCCTCACAGATTGAAGGCAACATATTCAGCTCATTGAGTCTGCTTTTCTCCGAAAAGTACAAATGACGCTGTAAAAGGTTAGTAATATTAAGTAAAATACGATGATGATACCTTCAATTTGTTTGTCCAGAAATCGGAATAGTACCTGCCATCTTCATATCGATAGCCGTGCTTCTTAGCGAACTTTTTCCAGTTTTTCCGTATTCGCTCATCTTCTTCAGGAGTGAATCTAGTTTGCTCTTGATACTTAACACCTGCAATAAGAGAAGGTACAGATTATGTTTTAAACAAAGTTACCATATTCAAGGAGTCGGAGTTTGTGTTCAAAATTGAGTGGACCCAACGCGGTATGGTGAAACAAGAATCCGTGCTCGTTGAGAACACCTTCCACTGGCATGTTCACATTGTGTAGAGTATTGTGCAGTTTGAGTATTCTAGAATCCTTCCTAATGCGTTCCTTCTCTGTCTCTATTAGTTCATCCTCTGGGTCGCTCATACTGTAATTCGTTCACTACAAAACCAAAGATGGCAGAATAACAGATAGAACAGTAGAATGAACTACTTTCTGTTTGATCTCAACGAGAAAGACACTTTTTATTTTCAAATATCAAAACGATCCGGCATGACAACAATATCATAAAAACAATTTAACAAGTAGAGGTAGAGAAGAGAATCAACTACCCGTGAGTTCTTATCTGCAGCGTTCATGATGCTCTTCTTTCATCTATAACACATTAGTTCTTCCTGTTAAATAAGAAACACTCACATATTTTTTCCATTTCCGCGGTACTGTGGTTTCTTCTACCTTCTTAGAGAGCAAGACCGCCATCGTATCCAACAGAGGATCACGATACAGTGGCCACAACTTGTCAGAAGGTTCCTGAATATCATCAACTTCAATTAGATAACTTCGACAAGCCCTTACCGCTTCTTCAACCAAATCAGAAATGTTGTTGTAGTATTCGTATAGAATAGCTACTCTGTCTGAAACGTATCTGATGTGAGAGGAACTATCAATGAAACGAACCGTATAAGGACACGTGGGGGGGGTCGACGTGTTCGCATATGTATCGGATGTGGTTTAGCATACTCACTACAATCTTCAGCAAAGCATCAGTTTCCTTATAAATAGTATGGAATAGGAAAATCATATGTTTGATGCATCTGAAATGAGAATGATGTCCACTAGTCATATAAACAATCAACTTACTGTTTCTGCAACTCTAACCTATCGAAATTATAGCTGACTGCTCCAGTATACACGCTGTCCGGGTTTAATTGTTTTAGTAGAAGTTTGAGGAATTTTGCAAACTGCTCGTTAGTAAGTTTGGGTTTTTTCTTAGTTATTATCTGATTAACCATATTTATCACAGCTGCCAAATATGGAACTTACACATCTTAAAGCTTTGTTATAAGCTTCTTCATCGGTACTTCCGGAAGATTTGAAGTGTATGCACAGTCTTGCCATCACTTTGAGGATGAAGTTCCTACAAGTGAAATGAACCTACGGAAAACTGAACATACTAACCAATTATCCTTTAAACTTTCTATAGATTTCTTCATTTCATCTGCAACTGCCTTGAAAGGAAGATCTGAAGAGAGCGCCAATGCTTCTGTAAGGTTTCCTTCAGCACTCTTTTGAAATATTTTCTAAGAATACGAGAGTTAAACATTAAAAAAAAAGTTGGAAACTTCAACAATTTCTCTTCCAGCTTGATTCTCCATGGTTTCTGTAAGGGCGTCAGTTATTGAAGAAGTTGCTCTGGAACTTACTTAAAAATTTTTTATACATTCTGTTTGAAACACGTTTATTCTCAATCAGGAACTTCGTGCAAGTGTTCCGAACTTCCGTAACAGTCAAACGGAATTTCTTCAAAATGATCAAAGTCAACCAACAGATGTCAGGAACCTATTTACCTCAGCGATTGAATACATGGATTTCTTCTTTTGGAATCGTAAGTAAATTATACTATCCTTGTGCTCTGATTGAACATGTCTATTGAAACAACTCTGTGAACATGTTGAAATGCCTTTCTCACTTTTTATCATAAGATATTTGCTTGTAACCTTTTCGAATAGCCTGATCATACAACTTGAAGAAACGCACTCCAATTTGTTGACCATATCTATTAAGCAGTCCTTTACCTAAGTAGTTTTTATGGTTCTATAAGAGAGAGAGAGAGAGAGTGACTAACATATCTTTGGATAGAAAGCGGTTTTTCTGATGAAGTCCCATTTCTCTATTCTCTCAGTTTCACCAATTCGAGGTAAGAAGAGGTCGACGCTGTCGTCTGTCAAGTTATTTTCATCCCTATAAGCTTCCCAGTTCCTCTTTATAATATCGTCTTCTTCTTTCGTGAACTTTCCAGGTTTATAAATGATGCCTGGAAAACAAACCCTTGAACGATTCACTAATCAAGCTGGAAGTACCATTTCGCTTTAAACGCGCAACTGATTCGGGAGTGGGTCTAACACTCAGGTAAGCCTGCAAGCAAAAAAACGTATGGAAGAAATGAAAGGGAAAAAATTACATGATGCTTTAAATATCCTGAAGATGTCAACATCTCGGGATGATAGTTACAATCATCAAAACTCATCTGAATACCCAAACTAGGTTAACCGTTATCCGTCTTATGTATCATGAGCAGTAACATATGGGAGCAAGAAGAAATGAAGTGTTTGTTATAATTTATTACCCGTTATCATGAACTCGTCTTTATAAAAATTTACGAAAAGTTGCGAACAAAACATATAACACGTTGAACAAGGAAACAGGAGTTGCGTCATAATCTGGAAAGTCAATTACTCTATCTCTACAGATTGGAAGGAACTTACGACAATCGTCACAAGCTGCAGTACTAGCGAAAGGAATTCGCAGGAGGAAGTTCAGAGGCCAGAAGAAGTCTGTTGGACAACAAAAAGCCTTAATGTATCATTTTATGAAGAAGATAATGAATATTCAATCTACTTGATATCCAGACACGGAGTATAAAACCACAAAACCAACAGCTTGAAGGACTGTTCGTACGATAACTTGTACTTTCAAAGTATTATCTGAGGACTTCGTGGAATTCACTGTAAATATGGGGTCCTGTATGATAAAAGTCATTCGACTCACCCTCAGATTCCAATTCTTCTTTCAGTTTATTCAGAACTCTTTCTTTCTTGAAGTAAGCAGCAAACTCAGAAGTCGGTGAGATCTGAGTTATTAGGTGAGTTAGTCGGTATAACCTGTTATCACACCTTATTGAGCTCGGTCTGAAGCTCATTCACTTGATTGGTTAAACTTGCGACTTTGGGCGAAACGGGTTTTTTCTGTTTAGATTTTATCTGAAATATAGCTTGTCACGTATAGTTTATATATGCGAAATATCCCACGCCAATTCATTTTGAAAAATAAAACAGACGAGACCGGTTGTACACACGCGTCATCACTAGGGTAAGTCCTTTTCAAAAACCGTTTCGTATTCTTACCTACCGAAAAACATGTTTAGAAGTTGAACTTACAATTTCCACAAGGAAATTCTGTATTTTCGTTAAATACAGGACAAAGAAGACAGCAAGAGAACAGTGGAAGATGGCGATAATGGTTGAAACACCATATCCTGAGGTTAGCAAAGTTCTTTCATTTGTGCACATCCTGAAAAACGATTAATGATATCATAACATTCCATAATTTAATGAGGGTGCGAGAGAGAGAAAGAATGATAATGAGAGAGAATGCAAAATGAGAAAGAGATAGGGAGAGAGAAATGGCAAGTAATGTACTGATTTGAATGTAAATATGTAGGACAGACGATACTACGTACTTAACGTACATTTACATGAAACGTTGTAAATTGCATTACTTGCTAACTTTTTTTTGTTATTTCAATACTACTTTCTATATAAGTTGTTGGAAAAAAAAGTTTTCATATTAAGTGATTGTGACGTTTTCAAATGTTATCATTACAGATGCCGGATGGTGGGGACATTCAATCAGTAGTCCTATATAACTTTATCAATTCTGATTCTGTTGCTTCGGAGATAGAAGTCCCTGTGCCTCTGCCTGAGTATGTAAATGTTGATGAGTATGTGGCTAAGGTTGGAGCTGCTGGAGGTTTGACACAATCAGATGCAAGCGGTTAGTTCCATGAGTGGGGTTTGAGTTACAAACTTCTTCAGAAATTGCATGTAATATAAATAAGCTGGTCTTGGATGAAATTGGCAAGATTAATGATGAGAGAGATGACTTGCTCATAACCAATGCTCTTGCTAAAGGTCGGATTTCTTTTGACGAGTATTATTCAACAAAGGTTAGTTCTGTGCATGAAGTTAAGTAAAGGCTGAGATGTCTATGGTTTCAGTCTAATGAGCCCGTTTCGAGTCAGCAAATGTCTTTTGCTGATCAATTCAATTGTATAATGCATAACTCGCCGTGTGATCATCTTACTCTCCTCATGAAGAAAGAAATCGAGATGGCTGCGGAGGTTTGTTGTTTAAAAATCTATTGTAATTTCGGAAAGCTTCATGACGCAAAAAAGTGGACAATTGTCTCGTCGCTTTTTCATATGAAATATATTTTCGTTTCAGATGTCGCACTTGTTACGAGCAAGAACATGGGAAGTAGAGCAGCTGACGGAAGAGTGTGAAAATTTACTTCGCTCTTCTGAATCAAATGACATGCATCCCCATCAGCTCAGTAAATTGAACGAAAAGCTGCGGGTGAGTACGACTGCTTGGAGCAGCATACGTTTTTCATTTCCAGCAAGTTCATGGCTCATATGCTTGTCAAATTGAAGCTTTGGCGGAACAGCAAAGAAAACATTTCAAAGCCATGGTCGAGGCTGTTTATCAAGGTTTTATTAATAGTCTCATCCTCATCCCACGTTTTCGTTCTTTTAGCCAAAGGAAACACCTTGAACTTACCGGAAGATATAGCGAGTGATTTCCAAGCAGCTTCCAACACTTCCTACTCGTAGGTATTTCATAATTTCCCATCTTTCCTGATTGTCCTCGGGTTTAAGCTGTCCTCAGTCTGTCGTGTCGACCATTGATGAGAGTTTCACGATTTACATCGGTCTTTGAGCAATGCTTTTTTTTTTTAAATAACTTATCGATTAAGGTGCTCAACTGAAGTCGATGCACAATGTGCGAATTGTCACCGCACCTGATCTCGTTTCTCTTGTGGTTCCTCAGAAGGTAATAACATTATTTGTAGTTATGTGATCTAATTGGATATTCAGATTGATGATATAGGTGGCAGATTGCAATTGGCCATGTCTTTATATGGGCGTTCACTCACTGCAGTCATTCTATTAGTCCCAAAAGATCCAATGCACCACATTAATATGCAGTCCGGTTCGACAAGCTACTTCCCTCTCCTTCATGGATTATTAGTTTTTAGACTTTTTCAAGGCGTGTGAACATTCCACAGAATTACATTTTGAGCCTCTGTCTGCACAATTAAGACAAATAGCAGAATCGGTAAGTAATTGATGATAGAAGAAGGTTTATCACCTTTCTCTCAAGACAAAGAATGCGAACATCTGGAGAGGAGGGAATTGCCCAGTTTCAACAGACGGTGATGCAAATGTGCCCAGCAACACGAGGACTGATTCGTCCCTGGCTGTTGGAGATGTTTACATTACGAAGCATTCAAATTTGAGACAATCTCAAGTTCGTCCCCCCTTTCATATCTATTTTTGAGTTTTTTTCCTGAATTTCAGATTGTTTTCCATCTGGTCGTGGATGAACAACTACAAACTACAGAGATATCTAGCAGGTATTTTTCAATCTAAGCTTCTCAGGACTATTTATGTAGACATGCTTGTTTCAATGGTCTGAGAAATATCATACGACTGACTACCAAACTAGGGATTACTTCAGTTTTTCTCCCGTTGCTGCTGATTGATAAACCCTCAGAGGTGATTATCTGTTTTAACATTTGGTTAATCGTCTTTCCTAGACTTCAACAGTGACCTGGTGTTTACGTAGAGCTGAGATGGTTTACAAGTGTGTGAAAGGATACCTGATGGAGGTATGTGGTTCAGCCTGTGGAGGATCATCAGCTCCTGTCCCTCATTATAATATTAATTTTGTCCTGCCGGCAGGACTATCGGCTTCCATATATGAACAGGTATAAACAACTACTTATGATCTTCTGTAAAAGGTAGTTCTGTGATTTAGATACTCAGCATGTTACCTTCCATCTTTCATCTTGTACCTAATGTTACAGCTACAGATGATTAGAGAAGGCTTCTCGTGAATCTCTACAAGTGATAGCATAACTGTGATAAAAATGAATTTTTAAAAAATTTTATTCTTTTATTAAACTCCTCCGGTCAAGGCCGTTCTTTATTTTCCTGATGAAAAGAAAATCGTACTGGGTGCAGTTGAAATTGATATTTAACAAATTCTCGAGAATGAGAAGTTTCTCTAATTACAATCACCCAATCCGGTTTTTTATCATAGTCGAAGTTTTTTTGTTTCTTAACCAAATGCGTTATGAAGACTTTCAGGAAGCGGTAATGCCTTTGTTACTCCTTACTTTTCCATTGTATAAACTGCTCTCTTTTCAGTCCGTCTCGGACAGACTTAGCTTCGAAAGCTCGTGTGCTGAAGTGGCTCAATATGCCTCCAACTCTCTTGGATAGAGCAAGGGTACCCAATTTCATCACACCGTCTTCTTCCACTTGCTCAATGTATCTAATCAAACTGTATGGACTCCCATGATTTCTCATTCTTCTAGAAACGATTCTGAACTTGAAGCTAATGTCTCCGAAGCCAACTCCTCCCTCTGCCTTCCTCTCAAGAAAGGAAGTGGATATGAGGTCCGTCTCTGTCTCCATTCTTAATATTTCACCTTCCAATGTTCAGTTCATCACTTTCTATCCCGATTGTCTGAAACACATCGACAAAACTGTTGAAGAAGGCAAACAGGAGCATTATACTCAGGTGGGCTCTATCCGGGCTCTCTCTAGATCTCATGTGTCATCTATTCCAGATAGGACAGAAGTACAACATGGTATTCAAAATGTCTAGAAGTAATACGAAGCTTGTAAAAACCGTTTTTCACAGTTATGGCTTTACTCAAGTAGGCTTTTCCACTTTGAAAGTCTATCAATTATTGTTTTCAGTGCTCATGGAGGAATGGCAACTTCAATGTCATTTGGGCAGGATCTCATCTGAAAGCTTATAAAATGAGAAATCTCCAACCATGGTTTGTGCTTGTTCGCTGTAAAAACAGTGCTTCATAAAACTTTGTAGGCAACGCGTTAATCAGTTTCCACGATCGTCGGAGTTGACGAGAAAAGACAAACTTTATGAAAACATTGCAAGATCTCAAACCGTTTATGGTGATTGTTATGAATTTGTGAGTCCCAATGCATTTCTTCTACTAATGAAACATGCACTTGAAGATTCCGGAGTTTTATGTTACTCCACGGGACTGCCTACGAATGAACAAAGCTTTCGAAGAAAGAAGCAAGAACGACGGGGATGAGAGCCGCTTTATCGTGAAGCCTGTCAGTTCATCCCGAGGACAAGGCATCTTCTTCATTACCGAAGTATGACCCACTATGCTATCGATACACTCATGAACTTACTTACAGCCTGAACAAGTACCTCTAGGGAACCCTCTTCTCGTCTCTGAATATATTTCTAATCCTTTAGTTGTAAACGATCACAAATTCGATCTCCGTATCTATACCGCCGTCACCTGTTTCAATCCTCTTGTAGTTTACATATATGCTGAAGGTTTAACAAGGTCAGTATCTCCGGCTCTGTGTCTTCTTTCAAGTAAGGCTTAGATTGGCATCCGCAAAATACTCAACTGATGCTTCATTCACGGATGAGTTTGTTCATTTGACAAATTACTCGATTAACAAGAATAGTCAAGCTTTCATTAGGTATTTCTATTTTAAAACTGAAGTCTTCTCCTTTTTTAGAAATGAAAGCATGTCAACTGAAGACTTTGGACACAAATGGACTTTGGGGGCTTTATTACGACATTTAGAACTGAAAGGAATAGACTCCAAGTGTCAGTTTTAGCACTCTTTAGATCTTCCTCATCTTGTGTTCCAGTGATGATGCTTAGAATAGAGGATATCGTTATCAAGTCTCTTTTGTCAGTTCAAGGGACTGTTAACTCAGTTTGTAAAACTACTGTGCACAATGTGGGAACGAACTTTGAGCTGTTCGGTTTTGATATCTTAGTTGATTCCAATCTCAAGCCGTGGTTATTAGAAGTTAACTTGTCACCCAGTTTATCCTGGTGAGTACTAGTAGAGTTAGTTCATATTATACCTTTTTCCTTAAGTGATGCTCCCCTAGACTCATTAGTGAAAACAAGGTTAATCTGCGATCTTTTCAACCTCGCCTGCATACCACTCTACAATAAGAGATCTGCTTCAACTAATGGTGATGATTCGGGTGCCGAGGAAGGTTTGTACGATGAGAGTGACAAATAGTTATCTTGGATTTCCAGAAAAGGAAATAGCATCAAACCCCCGTTTGTTCAATGACTGCAAGAGGAAGAGTCCACCTGTTGTGAGAAATGTTGCGGGAAAAGTATGTGATTCTCATATATTTCCTTGCTATTCAATTAATTTAGAAACTCTTATGTCCAACTTCTCCTATGAGAACCGAAATGAAGTTCCAACAAATCTTGAAGAAATTCCGATTTGAAAACGAGAGGAAAGGAGATTTCGTTCGCATATTTCCACGAAAAAATACGTTTGAACTATACAAGTAAGGAAATGACGGTGATTGTATGGGCAATATAACACCATTACAGACCAATCATGGAATTTTCTTCATCAGAGAAATTCGATCGAAGGATATATGAAGAGGAGTTTGGAATTAATGAGAATTTAGAGGACCTCTCTGAAACATTCCATGAAGTCATGATCTTAGCTTCGAAGGTGAACCCTATTCGCTCCATATTCCATGACCAACTCGTTTCTAGTATCCATCGTTCAAAGAAGTTCCTAAAGAGCTTAAGCCTGTAATTGACAGTTGGTATAACATAGCTAGTGTTTATTGTGACAAAATAACCAAAGAAGGCGAAATTTATGCTGGTTTGCTTTGTTTATGCTTTCAACTCTCAATTGGTTCTTCTTTTAGCTAAACTTCCAGTAGTTCGCGCAACTGCCCGTTTGCGCACTAAAAGTTGCTCAGATTGGTATGAGGTGCGAAAGAACACTCTAGAAATCGCCAAAGCAAAGTTAATTGCTGAAACACAGTAAGCGACTATGATCTCAACTATCACTACGCTACTCCATTTTCAGAGGCAATGAGAAAGACGAAGAAAAGAGTGAAAACGGCAAAGAAAATAATCCGCCGAATGTTGAAAACGTGAAAAATTAGAAGAAATAAACTCCCTTATTAAACAATTACCTTAAAAGAATTTATATCGTTTTAGTTCTTGATTTTCCTCCGAATGCGCTTTAATCCTTGTTATCTTAGTGATATGTAGTTGTTACACCTTGTTGTTCATGATTTTGGCAAATGTTTTTATGCTATGAATGGTAATGACTCGGATTATCGAATAAATATACTTTTGAAAGTGTTGTTACGTTCATTTCATCAAACAGTGAAAAGGGAGCAAGGAAGGCGATGATTAATTCGAGATATGGTGATCTGCCGTCGGCAGATGCTAACTTTTCATTTTGGGCGCGTATGTATGCGCGAGCGGTTGCGTCTAGCTGTGCTGTGCTTTCATCTCCTTATAGACCACTTTTTCCTTTTACAACCTTGTATATTATATTAAACATTTAAAAAATTCAAAAAAAAAATTGTTTCATGAAAATTTTCAAAACTGTTTCCGATTTCATTTTAAAAATACAAATTACCTCTGAATATCACAAGATTCGTGTATTTCAACATACTCAAAAACCTTTAAGACCAGATATTATTACTTCATTAGCTTAACAACGTTTTTAGCCCAACGAAGTTAACCCAAGTAAACGGAGTGCAATCGGTCGATTTTGCCGGTCAGCTTGAATCTTTTTGAAAACCGTATCTATTGGCTTTCAACTACTTGGTTTCGTTACACTATGTCTACTGAATGGCAGAAGTTCTTCGTACATGCCGGCATTCCTGCTGCTGTTGCTCGATCATATGCAAACTCTTTCAAGCAAAATAGGTTGGTTACTCCTGATGTCAAAGGATTCTTGTCTATAAGACGTTCAGAATTGATAAAACAATGTTGAAAGATCTGGATAAATCTACGTTGGCCGAATTAGGAGTTACAGCTATAGGAGATCAAGTGAGTCTCTTCATTCACTAATAGCATAGTCATATTACTGTATGTTTCAGCTTGCCATTCTACGTCGGGCCAAGAATTTAGGGGATTTGTCAGTCGCTGATGATTCTTCAAAAGTTGTTGCTAGTCAAAGAAGCCGTGTTTCAGCTCCCGGTTAGATTTAATTCTTAAACATCCAAGTAATTCATCGATTGTTCAGGAGAACATTTTCCTGCAGCTAGTAGTTTGAGAAAAGGTCGTCCACCTCCAGACCGTAACGAAATTTATCACATCAAAATGCCCGATGGAAATACCTCGCGGACTAAAAAGATTCTTGCTAAACACGAACAACTACGTAGACAAGGTATTTTGGGTTGACTAGTATAAATGTTAATCTGTTTTCAAAGGTTTGGCCATCAGAGGAACGACAGGCGTCCGTCAGGCAGGTCGAGATGTAAGTCCTGTTGACAAGACTAGTGTAGCTGCTAGGACTTCCAAAGGTTTGTTTTATTATATATTCTATAATTGGCAATGTATTCGTTACGAGTTGTTTGTACTAACATCCTGGCAACGGGCTCTGCGATTCGCGTGACGAAAATGCCATTTTAATTTTTTGCGTTCGGTTGTGCGGTTGCATTCAAGTGTTCTTATTTATAGGGGGAATCCTGGATAGACTGGGTGGTGTTCGAGTCGTGGAACGTAGCAAAAAAGTTTTAGGTGGAAGAGTTGATAAGAGAGGGTGAGTGTTGTAAGTTATCATAGGTTTTGTAAACACCTCACCATTTCAGAAGTCCACAAACCAAGTTCTCAGGAGCTAATATGCGAGTACGAGTGGCCAGCAGTAATGACGGTGCTATAATAGTGGTACGTTCAGCTTCCTACCTTATATTGTTTAGTCTATGCTTATTTTTTTAGAAAAGAAATAATAATAGGGTCGCTCCGAGTAGTGTAACCGTTAGTGTTAATGGAAATCCTAACCGATTCCGCCGTTCAAATATGGGTAGTCGACTTCAAGTGGCAGGTGGAAGTTTTAATAACAAGCGTAATATAAAGGTAGAGAACGTTATGTGAACATATTTGGTTGATTTGTTATTTATTTAGAGTAGAATTGTTTACGAGGATGATAATGTGATGGAATATGCAGATGATGGGCTGATATATGAAGATGATGAAGAAGGCTTATATGATTACGAAGACGGCGACTATGTTCAGTACGTTCAGAAACCTTCTATTTACGATCGATTAAGCAAGTAAGAGGATCTCCTTAACGTGTATAATCTCTTACGAAGTAATCAACTTGTTTAACACAATGTTGTGCCAGTATTTTTGTTGTTGAAATGTAATATAAACTATTCCAAACTGTTCAGTTTCTATAGAATGCGGCCACAACGCACATGAAGGTAGTCGGATGTTCATCAGATGGTTTCTGCTCAGTAATCCGACCTCAACATCTTTAATGATGAAACCGAGTGAAACATCAAAAACTTCTTGGGAGATTGGGCTACTTATTGCTGGTAACAATATGTTTGACTTATATTCAAATAATCAGCTAGTTATGGGTTTGAGGGATTGCCGCTTTCCAGCTGTAGGCGGAGCCTTGCTAGCCTGACTCCGCCTATGCATGGCAGCTGCCTTCCTTTGCCGACTTGCTTAGTTTAGGCATCTCCCACTCGTTGAATCTACTTTAATTCGGAAGAACAGTTGTTCCTTTTCAAGAATCTACGAGAGGAAGTCGGATTCTTTTTTAAAACTATGAGACTTCTCTCGTATGCGGCCAATAAATAATCTATTCTCTGCGGCTCTGTCAATCACCTCCATATTCGGTCTGCTGCTTGTATGGCCGAAAGAAGTTGGTAAGTCCATTTGAGGTTCATTCTCACTTCTATCCCCACAACAAACGTTTGCCAAACATGATTTCCGGTCCTACAAAAGGTTCTGTGAGCACCTAGCGTTTCATGTCTCGTTTCCCGTAGTGTGTGCCTTTTCCATTAAAAACGCTCCGCATCAGATTTTTGTCTACTTCGTTCTGTTTTCATATCAAGACAATTCTCATATACCTGAAGAAAACATGAATGACAAATATGGGCATATATATAGATATGGACGAGGGGATATTTATACATATGTCCACTTCCCAAATTTCTAAAACATTCGAAAAAAGCTTTTGCGTATTTATAAACATCTAATAGCTGTTTAGTTTTCCATGTCAGTTTGGTCATTAACTTTCTCCTCCGTTTCAATACTCACATGAGAATGTGCAACTAAGAAATTGGTGAATAAAAACAAATTTGTCTTCACCCCCCACCTAGTTGTTGGTCACTTTCTCACCTTTCGAGCTTATTTCTCATAAGATTCTGTATCTTCGTTCGAATTTATCGTCAGGAGAAGCCCCCAGTCACTCCACCCTTTCTTCTCCTCTTCCGACATCCGGCAATTAACGTGTCTCCTAGCTCAACTTTCTTTTAGTCAGGCAAAAACGGCAGAAAGGAAGGGGCTTGTCAATCTCCTCCTGCTCTTCTCCCCTGATTTTCGCATTTACTTCTTTGTCAGTGAGAATTTTATATTATTCATCCAGTCACCTGACGATGACTGAAACATTCAACGAGAAGAGAAGCTTTGATAATTCGTAGAATTTCCTTTTCTCTGTCCTTTAGCTGACTAAATTCTCTGTTTGACACACAATTAAAAGACACATATCCTCATGTGTTCTGCCTTCGAATTACTTTTTCTTAATTTCCTCAACATGTCGTGCGTCCAAATAATCTATGGCTAAAGAGACTTATGGAAGAAGCTCTCTGCGTTTCATAAAAATTTCCATCCCATTGGGTGGTCGTAGTGACATGGAATTAAAACACCTATAAAAGGCCTTTCTTAATTGGACTGTCAATTTCTTTCATTTTTTTCGAAAGAATTATAATATTTAATGCAATGGTCAGTTATTGCTTCAGTTTTGCTCCGACGTTCATGACAAATAGCTCGAAAGTCGTTGAAAATTAATTAATTTGTAGTTCGATCGAGTCGTCCAGGAGGAAAAACGAAAACGGAAATATTACTGGCGACTCTTTCTTGTCTCAGAGATGTAGGTTAGTCTAGTGTGAGAGACAATAAGCTCATCCTGCAGGCCAATTAGCCGATTCATCGGATCGAAAAGACATTGTTCGGCCGAGGCTTTTGACACTCCTTTCTTGGTACTTATATGATCTATACACAAATTGAATGGGGATCATTGTGTAACAAAGCTTGTTCAAGCTTTTTCAAAAAAAAAACAAGATATAGATGCCCATGTGTGTGTGTGCCGGTTGGGTTTGTTGGGATTGACAAAGAAGGTGCTGAAGGCCATGCAGCTGCAAAACATAGAAGAAAACTATGTGAACGTTAAAACTCTGGGCATAAAATGACAGAAAGTGGCAAAGAGACGAATAGAGAGAGAAAGAGACTAACGCACATGACAGATAGAAATAAAAATCCAGAAGGTCTCGACGTCTTCAATCGAATTTTCCATGATTTCGCCTATCTGTATCCAATAATTGTTTTGTGTCAAAACATAAAGTCTTTCAAAAACACCAACAACACCAACCCAGAAACCTCACAAACACATTTGGAATGCAAAATTTTTAATTTCATGTCATGACAGACTCTCCGAAAAAAAACGGACTTGTTCTGTGATTTGAGTTTGTAAACGGAGGGATTGATTCTTTTGGAATGATTTGTGAACGAAGTTCTTGAGGACATAAAGTTTGGAAACAAATGTCTGATGGATATGTCTCTTAATGTGCATTAAGTTGAGCGAGAACATCATCATCCTTTGCCTTTTCATGTGAAAGCTCACAATGATCAGAAATGCTTTTGTCGCTCACCGCCTATCTACCTTCTCACACTCAAGACGGCAGTACGTGAGGTTGATTATGAGAAACCTGAGCTGAATCATAAATGAAATGTTTGTTTTCTAATCTTTGTTTCAAAAAGCTTTCTTTGTTGATGAACAATTTTCTTTTCAAGTTTAAAAGCCAATTTCAACTAACTTATTGAATTTTTAGTCTTTGTTTCTCTTTTTTCGACCCTCCTTCTCCTTTCAACTGCTCCAATCGTCACAACAACCCTAACAGAGAGAAAATGACAAAGACGAACAAGCTGAACAGTTCTGTGTGAGGGCCACACTCCACCAAACTTGCGTTCATATCAAATTCTTCTTTTTTTCTTCTTGAGAAATGTGAATATCCTTCTATACCCTCTCATTCCCTGAAATGACTTCCTGAGCATCCGGTTCTTAGGAGTTGAACTGCCTGAACAGGTTCTTTTCGGCTCTAAGTTCAACTTAAAACAAAAAATAGTAAAAAATGAGATTTGGCTTCGAAGCATTGTGGACGAAATTGTATTGAATTCGTTTCTTATGCTTTTAGAGCAGTTTGAGACAGGTTTTTGCAAAGAATCTGAAGATGACAGTTGTTTGGGAGAATTGGCGTTATCTGGTAAATTGCGAGTTTAGCTTCGAAGCCTTAAGAGCTTTAGTGTTATGAATTCAAAGTTGATTTCAATGCTTTGTGAAGCTGGACATTGGTTTGAAGCTCAAAGATTTCTTGTTTGTGTTCTCAACGAAAGGAGGTTTGAAGCAAAACTCTTGTGTTTCTCTGACGTCTCTCTAAACGTTCGCTTCACATTCTCTTGTTCACTATTAACAAAGCAATAAGATTATGTGATGTATCCTTTAAGAGAGCTTTGTGTCATTTTGTGAAAATTCACGTCCTTAAAGCGAAATCTGGAAGATGGTTTGAAGCGTAAAGGAAAACAGCTTCCTTTTCCTCAAATTCAAATTGAGTCGATAAAGGTGAACAACGACAACACAAGTTTCGAACTAGCGCAGACCCATATGATAATTATGGCAAAAGCTCCAAGTTCATGTATGTGAAGAGAGCAATTGTCTTGGACTCTACTTCGTTTCCTAATTATTATATTTAGCCCATCATGTTTTCTTCGAAATGTAGTTGTAACAGAAGTTACGAAAGCGACCTTATTACCCTAATATGGGTCTGTTTCAAGGACAAATTGAAGAAGAAGCTCATTTGAAATGAGTTTTACTCTTTGGAGGGAAGTAGAGTTTCATTGAGTTTTCAAGAAACTTTGCCAATTAACTCTCAAGCCTGTATCCTATGAAAGATAGGTGAGCTCTCTTCAGCATCCGCTACAGCCATTATAAATAGTGCAGTTGCCTATTATGGAAGAAATAATTGAGATTGTCCGGAAAAGATTTGTCAATGCTCTTGAAACACAGTGAAACTGCTGGGGTGACAAAAGCTGAAAGACCTATGTACTTTTGAGAATGGAAGCTTTCGGGAGAGCTGACACAGATTTTCTCAAATGAAAGAATTAGTAACTCTTTCAGTTAGTCTTGATATGAATTCCTATTCTCATCGTTCTGCCCACAATTATTTTTGGTCATTGAACGTAAAGCCATCCAGCTTAAATGCTTTAAGAGCTTGTATCAGCTTAAGCTTTAATTCTTATAACCTTTCATGAGGCTGACGAACCTCATTAGTTTTAACAAAAGATTTCATTCAAATGATATCATTGCGTCATCCATTGGGACAGCAAGATAGAGAGGTATCGTACAGGACAAACTCCAACGTCCAAATTATAGTTTGTCAAACTCTCCATTTGTAGTCACTGCAGAGTCATTCGAATCTTTGTTGAGAGAGTATAAAAAAGCTGAAAAATAACTCGAACGAGAGGGAAGACTCTATAAATTTCGTCCAAAGAGATACAGCCAAGAGAAAATCTCAAGTCAGAACTATTTTGGTGTCCTCGCCTTGCATTCCCTGAATATTCTATTTGTTGTTGTTTACCAATGTTAAATTCGAGAGTCGGAGAGGATATAACGTGCGTCCAGATGATAGGATTCGCAAAAAAAAATGATATAACCATCGGGTTTTTGAAAAATTAGAATTTTGGCGCGAATCAGGGTTCACGTGCATTCCACGTAAAACGCGCGCATTGTTTTCGCAGTTAATATCTTACAGACGCGCTGACCGGTTGAGCAATTTTTTCGAAATTAAATTGGCGCATATGTAGTGTGTAGTTGAGTGTTTCATGTTATGTCATATATTGGCGATATCTCTAATGAAGATGCAAAAGAAATATCAATTACTGAATGTATTTGTTCTATTACCTTCTGAAACATCTGGGCAGATTCCATAGCTAAATGATTGTAAGGTAGTAAGTAGCAAAATGTAAGAGGATATTTGAGCAAACACTCTGAAATTACTAAGCGAATAAAAGATTGAGATTTCCATTTTAAATCTCTAAACCCCAAATTCTGATGGATCTTTCTAGAGAATAAAAAAGATAATTTTTCATTTCATTTACTCTTCGAACCACAGGGAGAGTGGGAAAGGAACGAGGGAAGGAGAGGAGAGAGAGGGGGGGGAGCGAGAGAAGGCAGTAGTAGATGAGGGATCTGTTCGTGTTAATCGAAACATCCTTTCTTCAAGAAGTTTACTATGCTTAATAGAAATGTTTCTTGAGGAAATTTCATTTTTCATTGCCATTTCATCCTTTCGACCTCAGCTATATAGTTTAAGACGAGTGTTGGCTTAGGGCCAGCATCCATAAAAGACGACTTCATGCTCTTGAAAATGAAATTGAAATTAACCCGTTTGGTTTTGAGCTTTGTCTTGGAAGACATTTTGACCTCTGGTAACTCATGTACTAAGAGAGATGAAAGAGAAAGACAAAATTCATCGAAAGGAAATGAGGGGAAATGATGATGATGATGATGATGATGACAAAGAAAAAAGAATAGGAAATGATTGGAAGAGGGACCAATTCTTCTATTTCCTTATTTGATAATACTCATCCACACATCAACCTACATTTCAATACGTTCGAACAACATGTATCCTAATGCTATGCAAGATTTTTGAAGTCTGATTAGTGTTTTCAACAGAAACATCTAAACTGACATGTATTATTCATATCACTAACAGGTGATTACAAGAGTATATCACATCTAGTCGATGAAATTCTCATAACTGTGTGTTCGAGTTGTAAAGAGGGACTTCTCTCCATAAAATAATCTTTGAAGAGAGAATAAAGCTAATTCCTTTGTTTTCTAGAATCCATGTTATGCTTGGAAGGAGCTGATTGTATACGAGATGCAAGTTGTGATTTCTGCGAAGGTAAAACTTTCCTTCTATTCATGTGAAAAAATAATTTATCTTTACAGGTATTGCATGCACTCGAATTATATCTTATAACATGGAGGATAACCGAGAAGTAGCTTTGACCTGTATTCCTCATGATACGAGGTGATACACTCCCCTCTCATACTAATCAATAATGTACTTTATAGATCTCCGTTAGCGTTTCGAAACTTTCCGTATGAAGAGGAAGGCTGTAAACATGTTGGTGATCGACAGTTCTGCGTATGCTTTTCTAGAAACTATTGTAATTCATCTCGAAATGCCCTTAATTCTTCAACCATAGTCTTAATTGTGACCATTTTGTTTCTTACTGTCAACAGGTTCTTATAGTACAACTCGAATCTCTTGAAACAATTTTCCAAAAATAGCTGAATTACATATTCAAAGAGCTTTTGCTGTGATTTCATCATATACAACACAACTATCTAACCACACTATACGGGAAGATATTATATTCTAGGATTGACTGTTCTCTTATTATTTCTTTTCGCAACTCACTCTTGCATGTTTCCAAGATATTCATAGATATGCTCAAATTAATAAATTTTATGGAAACATCTATATTATCAAAAACTATTGATGAGAGTGGGATTCGAACCCACGCCTCCGAAGAGACTGGTGCCTTAAACCAGCGCCTTAGACCGCTCGGCCATCTCACCACGATAACCAATGTTTCAGGTGTTGCACATAATTCTATCCAATTATTCCACTTGAAATTTTACGAACTACTGATGAACTCGACATTTATTTTCATTTTTGAGATCTTGAACTTTCGGCCCTCTTACGCCAACAGTCTAGCGTATGTATGTTCGTTCTTTGTGTTATAGTGCACAACCGTTCTGTATGTTCGAACTATGGATAATGACTATGGTCGGGCAATAACCACTTTGTCTCACGTGAAAATTCTCACGTGAAACCATATGATTCATGTTAATTAGTTTGTTGAAGTGTTTGATTGATTGAAAAACAGATTCCTTTTCGTCACTTTATTCCTTCGAATATAACTAATACATTCATCTGAATACAATACATAGACAGCCACAAGAAGAGATGTTACAAATCAAAAAAATAATTCAAATGAAAGTCATTGAAATTATAAAAAAAATATTTAAACTTGTGCTGTCATATGACCTAGTCGGATACCTATCACGAAAGACAATCAGAGATGGAGCCAACATTCAAAAAACTAGAAATGGTACTGCAGTACTCCGAAGAGGATTCTGTGAAGACGAGAGAACAAGAGAGCAAAAATGTTGAATCAAGGGAAGAGAAAGAGAGAATCATTAAGAAAGGATGAACAATATTTAATTCGGATCTGAAAACGATGCCGCCCGTTCCACCTGACAGGAATCATCAATAGTTCTATTTGGGGAAGAGCTTTGCCGACACTGAGATTTGAATTATTACAAAAAAGAGAAGTACATATACAAACTGAACAGCTTTTTTTCTAACAAAAATACGTTTAGATCATCTGTATGACGTCTGCAGCGTCATCAGAGATGTTTCGAAACAAATAAATTCGTTGAAGCTGAACAGAATGATATATGAACTCATTGCCATGATTGAAAGAGTCGGCAAAGCGGATCTCCTTAGAACTTTATAGACTGACGACCCCGTCAATTGCGGTACCCGTTTGCGCCGGGGAGCGGACGGCAAAATCTTCTGTTGTCCTGTTATGGAATTTCTATTTGAAGGCAATTGAGAAAAAGTTGGAATTAAAGAAAAATAAGAAAAACTTGAAAACGAGGGATGAAAAAAGTCGTGGAGGAGAGGAATCTTGGAGATAAGTGTCATACTAGAGGTTGGAGCTTCTGAAGCTAAACTGCTAGAGAAACTGAACTCGGATATCCTCAAGTCACCACCATACATCATCGGGGTACATTCATCATTTCTGGACAAGGAGAATGAAAAGAATGAAATAAGCATCATATCATGAGATACGAGACGGAGGAAGAAAAAAAATTTAAAAAAAAAAGAAAAAAAAATTTATAAAGAAGGGGGAGGGGGATGAAAGACGAAGAGGGGACCAATTAGCGATTATTTGATAATCTGAGATTGCATAATGGAACCAGTGGCTGGAACCATGTGACGTGTACTGTGAAGATTGCTTTTTTTTAGAATTTACAAATCCGTATGGGAATCATGTTGCACAAAGCAAGAAATATCCGGAGTCGATGGTGAGATCGAGATCAAGACAATCATGAAAGGCTGTTCGACCGTTCTTGTATCTCTCTTCAAATGATGCTTGTTTGAGGAGGAGTTCAGGCAGCTGTTTCCAGTTAAATAAGTTAAAGAAGGAAGAAGACAGAATTCCGTTCATAACGGACCGGCCATACGTTGATACTGATGTGGGCACGAGGATGTGACCAACAAATCCACGTTGACATGTTGTTGTTACGAAAAAAAGAAGAAACTGCTGCCGATGATGGGACACATACACACACAGAACGACGACACATGTGACATTCTGAGATGATGATGAGATGGCTTCTTCTACGTGGAATGAACTAATCAACCTCAGAATGGTCACGTGTGATGTTGCGTACACAGCAGGTTTGCCTGGTGTCGAACCTGAAAGATGATAAGAATAAATAATAGTTAAAGATAGAAACTAATAATAGACGAAAAATTACATACCGACTATCCTGTTTTGAGAGTCTGTCCGTCCGATCAGTCGATCAAGCAGAAATTTCAACAGGTGAGAGGTTCTTCGGTGGAATTGTCTGATGGAATAAGCCGGAGCAGAGACAGTTGACACACAGCAGGACCACAAGCAGAGATGAGTCGAATGTCATTACATCTGAAGATAGAAGACTTAAATATTTGTAGAACAGTAAGCATCATGAAAATTTCGACAGAGAGAGAAACGAGTATAAGTTAAATGAAGTTGGAAGGTGAAGGGAGGATAAAGCATTGAGAGGAAGAGAACGAGAGGAAAACGAGAGTAAAACAGATGCGAAAAGCAAAAAAAGAAAAGAGTAAACAAACAATAAAAACATGTGGAAAAGGGAGAATTTCAAGAAAAATAGCAAAAAGAAAAGGATAAACGATGGATGGCGGGAATGTTAAGAATGATAGGCAAGTTTGTATATAACGAGCAATTAAGGAAGACAGAGAGAGAGAGAATGCAGAGAGAGAAAGAGAGAGAGAGGTGTGATGTAGCTGAAGTTGGCATGGCTCCTTGAAAAATATCTTCAACCAACCAAAATCATTGACATGGGCAGAAAAGTAATTTTGTGATGCAAACGGAAATCCAAGACGAGAACGAGTGGGTGTACTTGAGAACATAAAAACATGACATCAACGGAGGAAAGTTTAAATGAGGAACAACGAGAAGATAAGTCGGGATGCATAAGAACCACATCTTGATACAGAAGGCAAATGATCTTTTTATCGTCATCACAATAAGATGAAGACTGTAGATGACCAGAGGGCGAAGACGGAACCATGACAGCCACGACACCGACGATTGTGAAGACCAAGCTTCAAGATTAAAGGAATGAAGAAAGCAACCCAGTTGTCATGGACGTCATAGTGTGGCTGTATGTATCAGGAGATGGGGGGGTTGGAGAAGACGACAACTACCGTTGTCGACAACAACAACAAGCTAAAGAGGAGGAGGGAGAAACAAGAAAATAAAACGAAAGAGAGAGAGAGAGAAAAAAAAATAAGAAGAAAGTAGAGAGAAAAGAGAATAAAGAATAAAAGAAAGAGAGAACTACAGCTGCATGAGCTCGACCAACAACACGACATGCATTGCAAGCCTCTTTCTTTTTATTTTTTTGTTCTGATCTCTCTTTTTCAGATAATATTTAGACTTTTTTTTCGCTTTTTTTGGCTTTCTAGGCTTCAGCAATAGCGAACAAACAAAAACATTAGCCTGAGGCCCAGAGTATGGGCCATTGCTTGAATCGAGCCTTCATCGAAGGGAAGCACAGGAAAAGACTATAACAAAAACAATGTTGAACCGAGAGAGAGAGAAAAAAGAGGTAGAGGTAGAGAGGGAGAGGATCAGTCTTCTGTGTGGGCAGTTGAGAAAAAAAGAATGTTAAGCCTCACAGGCACAAGCCTAGCTGAAGTTGATGACAGAAACTGTAAAGAGAAGGGTGGAGAGGAAGTTGAAGACGAATTCAGACAGCCATGAGAGTCAGATAGTTGACAAACGATAATAGAGAGGAAATATAATAAAGAGAATGAGAGAAGGGTAAGAAAGAGAGAGAGAGAAATGGAGGAGAGTGAAAGAGAGAGAGAGACAGGTCTCTACTGGACCCCAAGAGAACCGGTTCCAGTGATGAAGAGACAACTATGCAACACATAAGCGCACTTTTGACAACTAAAAGGTTCCAATGATTCAAATGACGACGCTAATGTTAAAATAAGGATATGTGATAGGAGGAATGACATATTTGAGTCGGCAGATACTGAAACGTGCTTTTTTCCTTTTATGAATGAGTAGATGGAAAGATCAAAGGGATGGTTTCATTCCTAATCATCGATTGAGAGAAGATGTCCTAATCTTGTCAATTCCATGACAACCGAAAATAAGAAAGAAGAAAGAAGGGTGAAGTGAGGGCTGTCTGAAGTATGGATGAATCAAGAAAAAACAGGAAGAGAAGTTGTAAACAGCATTACAAACAAATATCTTTGAGAACAAAAAGTAAGGAAAGAAAAGGCTTTGATGATGATGAGCAAATTATGTGTTGATATTGGAATCTCGAGATATCCTTGGTCAGGCATAGTATAGCTTCCGATATGTACTTCTCCACATGTCACGTGACTTATATGCCTGGGAGGGGAGAGTAAGAAGGAATGGGCGAGAGTGAGAGAGTAGAAGATGGAAAGTGAAAGTGAAGAAGGGAGCTTCATAGTAGGGAAAATGAGATTCAGATGAGGTTTCCTACGCCCAAGACTGCAAGAGCAGATAGTGGTAGACATATGAATGAGAAACTATAAAGTAAGATTAAATACTTTCAGAAGTTAACATAGACAAATCTAATCAGACTTGAGTAGGCGTTAGAATGAGTCAGCTGTGTGTTCGACATGTTGGATGAAAGGACACGTTGGAGATGAAATCGAGCATTTGGTGAGCTTACATCTTAGAAACTTATTTCTAAGAGTTAGAGATGACATCTAATGATGAGATAAATTAAGTACATAAGGAATGAAGACTCATTTGACTAACATAAGCTATACAGAAGGCTTTCAGCAGTCAAATACACATCGACTGACGACAGTCGAACAGGTCTTCTATGGGTCATGTGACAGGAAAACCTGTGGGCATTCACAAGTGAACTAGCTATACTAGAATAAGAATAGAAGCCATCATCATA